GTTAGCTCAGAAGATTGATGCCACTTTCCAATCTCATGTCTGTTTGCTAAATATGAAGTCACTGCTATGAGCTGGTTAATTTAGCATGCAGCTAGAGTAGCAACCAGCAGAGACATTAGGAAGCCAGGCTAGCTGTCTCTCCATGTTCCCAGTGTCTGTGTCCAACTAAACTAAACATATTTTGGCTTTAGCTTCATATTTAGCATAAAAACATCGACAGCAGTGTCAACCTTCTCATTTAACTCTCAAAGAAATAAGCATATGTCCCAAAATATTGAATTATATCTTTAATTATATCTTTTATTTCTTTTTCATTTTCACCGGTCTCTTCTTCTTTTATAGCCCCATGTCCTCCCAACAATGTGTCAGCTGAACTGAACTGTACTTCACGTGAAGCTCTGGTCAGCTGGAGTACTGCTGCTGCAGCCGTAGGCTACAGTGTCCAGGCCACCTCCAACAGTGGACACAACTCCTCCTGCAGTGAGATGGGCACATCCTGTTACCTCAGTAACCTGGTCTGTGGACAGGAATACTCTGTCGTTGTGGAGGCAATTGATACCGGATGTCCTGGCCCGGCCAGTACCCCTGCAATGTTCCCTACAGGTGAGTGTAACCACGCAATATTGATCTTTGAGGGAGTCACATTAACTCAGTCAACACACAGTGACAGTAATCATCTACCTGGCAAAAATCTGTGGCAAGGAAAATGTATCTGTACGGACCAAGTTACTGATTTTGCAACCATGAAACAAGAATGAAATGAATTGCGTATGTTGTTTGTGTCGATGAAGAACACCACAACCATCAAGGCATTTTACTTGAACATAACTAAAACTACAGTATGTATTTCTCCTTTCAGAGCCCTGTGCCCCCATGAATCTCTCTGTCCACTACAATATCGGCTCTGCCCAGGTGATGTGGGGGGCTGCAAGAGGTGCCAGCTCATACTCTGTCGAGGGTGTGACTGACCAGGGCTCGGCGGTCACCTGTAACACCACCAACACCAACTGCTCCCTGAGTGGCCTGCAGTGTAGTCAGACCTACAACGTCACTGTGATGGCACACAACATGGACTGTGACAGTGTGATCTCTGAAACCTATCACCTCATGACAGGTTAGTGACCTAACTGGGAAAAGATTTGTGTGAAACATTCACAGGTATGGCACTGCATTGGTTTGGCTTTTTTTAAATTTTTGAATGTTTTTCCCCCTCACTCAGAACCCTGCCCACCCACCAACGTTCAAGCCAATATTGCGTGTGAACAACTTATCGCGACTGTTTCTTGGCAGCAGAGTGACCTGGCTGTGGGTTATGTCGCCTACTTTGAGAACCAGAATGGACACAACACTTCTTGCGCTGGCACAGATGCAGATACCTCCTGTGATGTCTCAGGACTGATGTGTGACTCAGTGTACAGCGTCTGGGTCAAGGCCTTGGGACAGCAGTATAACAGCTCTGACAGCATAGGGGTCTCTCTTACATTAGGTATACTCAACATATGTAGATTTACAATTACATACACCAACAGTAACACTTGTTAATTTAATTTGTGCATTGATGTTCAACGTGACCTTTGGTGTTTGGGAGCAATATATATTGAGGAGGATTAAGCTCAAAGGTCCACTTACTAACGATTTGGAAGATGGAGCTGAATGTGTCATATTCTTCCTAATGCCACAGGACCTTGCCAGACGAGTGGCATCGAGGCCATTATGGACTGTAAGATCAACTCTGCTACCGTTTCTTGGCAGCCCAGTGTCGGAGCCATGTCCTATGTTACTGAGTTTACAACTTCGTCAGGCCACACCGCCAGCTGCACCACCAATTACACCAACTGTGAGCTGACCTCTCTGCGGTGCGGAGAGGAATACAACGTCACTGTGAAGGCTCTGGGATATACTTGCAACACTACTGCTCAAATGGCAGGATACCTCACCACAGGTACAGTATGTTCATGTGTATGTGTACTGTAGTACGTCAGCCATTTTGTTTGTGGAAGGCCAACCATTTTACAACCAGCGTACGCCCATACCATTGTTCATATTTAATGTAACTGCTTCCCCCAGAGCCCTGTGCCCCCATGAATCTCTCTGTCCACTACAATGTGAGCACTGCCGAGGTGATGTGGGGGGCGGCAAGAGGTGTGAGCTCATACTCTGTCCAGGCTGTGACTGACGAGGGCTTGGTGGTCACCTGTAACACCATCAATGCCAGCTGCTACCTGAATGGCCTGCAGTGTAGTCAGATCTACAATGTCACTGTGATGGCACGAAACTTGGTCTGCAACAACACTGTGACTTCTGAACCCTACAGCCTTATGACAGGTTTGTCATCTGATCACAAAGAAATGTGTAAAATATTTCACTAGACACAGGTATGCTTCTGTACATGTCCAGTGTTGTCTTTCCTCTAATGTGTGCGTTTTCCCCCTCATTCAGAACCCTGCCCACCCACTAACATTCAAGCCAGTATGGTGTGTGAACAACTTACTGCGACAGTTTCCTGGCAGCAGAGCGACCTGGCTGTGGGTTATGTCGCCTACTTTGACAACCAAAATGGCCACTACGCTTCCTGTGTTGGCACAAACACAGATACCTTCTGTGATGTGTCAGGATTGATGTGTGGTACAGTGTACAGCATCTGGGTCAAGGCCTTGGGACAGCAGTATAACAGCTCTGACAGCACAGTGGTCTCTCTTACATCAGGTATAAACATACTAAACATATAAAGTGTGAGTTTCTTTACATTCTTGGATTTGTTTTATGTTCATTCATAAACTTACTTATGGTCTTTTTCTCAGCTCCATGTCTGCCCAGAGAGTTAGAGGTAGAGGTTGACTGTAACTCTGATGGTGCCGCCATTGTGTCTTGGAATACTACTTATGGCACAGCAAACTTTTCGCTGACAGCCATTGTCAGCGGAAGTCTTCAGACTCTGTGTGCAACTCAGCAGAACAGCTGTAATGTGACAGATTTAAGTTGTGGAGAAACCTACAATCTCAGCCTCACCGCCAGCAACCAGCAGTGCAACCTCACAGCGCCAATGCATGCCAACCTCACCACACGTGAGTTGACTGTTTACAGTAAATCCTCATAACTGACAACTTTTAGTCTGAGTTAAACAAAATGTATTCTTCTTCTTCTTAGGTCCTTGTCCTCCTCAGCATGTAGCTGTCGACCTGCAGTGTGGCTCCCGCACTGCAGTCCTGTCCTGGGAGAAGAGGTCTGATGTTGAAGTGTACAAAGCAAGTGCTATCAAGACTTCCGGAGGGGAGGTGCAGAGGTGTAACTCTACAAACTCTACCTGTCAGTTTTCCGGGCTGGACTGTGGAGAGACCTACAACTTTACTGTAACAACCCACAGTCAAGGCTGCTCTAGCCAGGCCAGCAGCACCGTGTGCATCCAAACAGGTACTGCAGAAGCTTCACAGGTTTATCGGTGAAAAGTAACCAGTAATGTACTTAAATGTACTACAAGGAGTTTGTAATGGTTATGAAAGAGTCTCAATTTAATACTAATGCCTCTATGACCTATATAAACAAACAAGACCAGCGGCAAGAAGATCGGCTATTTCTATATAATTATTCTAAATGATTTCTATTTAAGGGTTTATTTTACATAGTACTTGTATTTTTACTTTAAAAATACGTTTTTTAATTAAAAGTATATTTACATTAAAATAGTTAGAGCTTAAAACTTATGATTATAGTTTTTATTAATGATTTATCTGATTATTTCCTAATTAAAGCATTCAATTAATCATTTTGGTAAAAAAAATGAAAAATGCCAATTTGTCCAAGGTGATGTCTCCAAACAACAGTCTGAGTACTTCTACCACTACTTTCCCTATTTGAGTACAATTGTTTTTCTGTCTTTTTTTCTTTTGCCCCTCACAGAGCCTTGCCAGCCTGTGATTGTGTCTGCTCAGGCGCTCTGCAACAGTTCTGGTGTCCAGATCTCCTGGCACCAAGCAAGTGGTGTTGTGAACTACTTAGTAACAGCCAGAGGGAGCCTTGGATATGTGGAGATACACAATACAACCCAGACCCTTCTGTCAGCTGCTTTACCATGCGGACAGGACTACAATGTCACTATACAAGGACAAGGCAGCGAGTGTGACAGCATCCCCAGCAGCCCTGCCTTCTTTAAAACCAGTATGATCTTACAAAACGATACAATGTGCGTTTCTTTTCACTCCATGCATATATTTGTCTGCATGTTCACCTCCATCCTCTCTCCCCAGCTCCGTGTATTCCCCGCGATGTCACAACCGATGTGCAGTGTGAGTTTAACATGGGCTCCGTCAGCTGGGGACCCACTGATGGCGCCGATACTTATGTTGCCGTGGCAACTGGGCTTGATGGCCACACCCACCTTTGTCTCACCAACACCACCTCCTGCACCTGGAACGACCTGCACTGTGGAGAGGAGTACAATGTTGTAGTGAGAGCAAAGGATGACAACTGCACCAGCCTGCCCAGCAACAGCTCTTTGATCCATATGAGTATGTTATGTACAGTTTGTCGAGCTGATCACACTTTCTTTTACTGGTTACTTGTCTGAAGTTTACTAGAAAATAATGTGGAATTTGGTTCTATTATAAGTGAAATATAGACAATATATAATGTATATACTTGTATTAATGTATTAATTAGTTTCTAGTGTGACCTAGGCATCTAGTCAGTACACAGAAGATGAACAGCAAGCATATAATGCTTACAAATAATAAATATTTGCTTAAGTTTAAATGTAGCTCTTCCTTCAGGGACAGTAATACAGTAATTTCCCTTTAATTGGTACCAAATGACGTAGTTCTTTCCAAGAAACTTCCCAGGAAATTGCAGACCTGTGAAATAAAGCGTTACGAAGCACATAATCAGTGAAATCGGCTGGTGTAATAAAACCTAGTTGAAGACCTCTGTTATAAAATATCCATCATCTTTGTTTCTTTCCAGATCCCTGCGTGCCCCAGAATTTGTCTGCCTCCGTGACTTGCAATATGAAAGTTGTGTCTCTGAGCTGGGATGCCAGTAATGGGACAAAGCTGTACATGGTATCAGCTGAGGCAGGAAACAAAACAACTGCGCTCACCACTAATGTCACCACAGCCCACTTCTCTGACTTCACCTGTGGACAGAACTACAACCTCACAGTAACATCTCACAGCCAGCACTGTCCTGGCAACCCCAGCACACCAGCCTCCGTACAGACATGTAGGTTATACACAGATATATAGTAGCTGTAGTAGCTGTATTTTACTTTTAAAGTCAAATCAAACATAAAGAAATCACTAAAATATAATAGTAGAAGTGAGCTCAAACAGGTATAAAATTAACTTGTAAGCATTTGCTCTCAGGGCCGTGTCCACCTGCAGGAATCTCTACCATGCAGGACTGTCTCTCTAGCATCGTCATGGTAACCTGGCAGGCCAGTAATGGGTCAGACTACTACACAGCCACCATGCAAACTGACTCTGGCATCTCAAACTTGTGCATGTCTGACACTCATGAATGCAGCGTCCCCGGCCTGAAATGTGGGCAAAACTTCACTGTGTCGGTCACAGCCTCCAACCAGCAGTGTAACATCACCTCCACTCAAACCACCAGTCTGCAGTCAGGTGAGGTTTTGAAAGGCGGCGGTGGACCAACATACTGACACTTCCTTAATAGCACAATTATTATTATACTATAACTTGTAGTAAGTGCAAATTGGTATCACTTTTTATATTCTGTTTTTATTTGGATTTTTTGCCACAAAAGGCATTTAAATATCCATCAAAGTCTAATTTCTCAAGCCATTGTCTGCAGCACTATCAAGGTGTTTTGTATCAATGGATTTTTGCTGTTTACTAGGAGGAATTTGATAGTCATGATCATAGTCAATCACTGTATGTGAAATGGAGGTTCTTTTGGATGCCTTTATTATGACCTATCAAGATACTGAAAGGGCATTTATTTGAAATTGATGTTTTAAATACATATAATGTTGAGTATATCAATTCTTGGCACATTTCATATCCATTTTTATTATATGATAATTGAGTTTCTGATGTTGTTGTGAACAATTCCTTTACTGTTCTAAATTATAATATAATCACATGAATTATTGCTGTGGTTTAATTCTTCATCATGATGAAGTTTTTACCCATCATGCTTCCTTGATTGTAACCCTTCTTGTTGTCTGCCTCCTCCCTACAGTGCCTTGTGTTCCCATTAATGTCTTAGTGGGGATGGACTGTGCCAACAACACCGCTCTTGTGTCGTGGTCTGCCAGTCCGGGCGCTGTACAATACTTAGTGACGGCCCACAGTAGCCATAGCAACGTCAGCTGCCAGACTTCTGACCTCAACTGCAGCCTTGACAACCTTGCATGTGGTAACCGCTACACTGTTCAGGTAGTGGCTATGGATGATAACTGCTCTAGTGTCCCCAGCGAGGGTCTGATATTAAACTCAGGTAAGAGAGGAAATTCTAACCAAATCAATCTAAAACACAGTTATAGTTTTTTTCTTTTTGTGCTATTTACACTAAACATTTTCAACTTGCTGTGGTAAACAAACTGTTTCCTTATTCACAGCCCCATGCCTGCCTCAGAACGTGAGTGCCGACGTGAGTTGCTCATCAAACGACATGGAGATCTCTTGGGATGCCATCAGAGAAGCAGACCACTTTTTAGTTTCAGTGATTGCGGACAATGGAGGAATGATCGACTCATGCAACACCACAAACACTACATGTTCCATCAGCAATGTAACCTGTGGAGACACATTAAGGGTTCAAGTCACCTCCGTCAGAGGCACCTGCCGCAGCCAGCACAGTCAGATCCAAAGCATCATGTCAGGTTTGAAAACTACAAAAGCCTTCCATCCATGCATAAATTCATCCATCCAGTCACCAATTTAACCTAATGTTGACTTTCTAGCTCCCTGCCAGCCCCAGGGAGTCAGAGGCAACATCGACTGTGTGACCAACTCTGCCTGGATATCATGGGATGCTGCTGCGGGGGCGGACAGCTACACTGTGTTAGCTGTAGGCGGAGAGGACTATACAGCCAACTGCACCACTTCCTCCAACACTACCTGTGAGGTGGAAGACCTGGCATGTAGCGTACTATATAACTTCAGCGTTATTGCTAAAAACAGCAAGTGTGAGAGTCAGCCTAGTGCCATCATTGACTTGGAGACAGGTAACATATATTTAGATTTTGTAAAACAAATATGCTGATGATACTCCATTTTATGTCAGTCGATAATCATTTTCAACCCAGAGGTAAGTGTCAGTTAATGATATCTGTCTCTTCCCCCAGCCCCCTGCTCGCTCCCTGCTATCACAGCGGATGCTCAGTGCCACAATTCCTCTATACTCGTCATGTGGGATCTGATGGAGGGCAGTGACGGCAACACTGTGTACACAGCCACAGCAGAAGCCGCAGACCATACCTACCTATCCTGCAACAATACTGGCACTAGTTGCTACCTCCATGGAGCTCGATGTGATCTCCATTACACTATTATTGTAGCTGGTTCATCAGACCAGTGCAGCAGTACGAGAAGCCCACCATACAAAATAAGCATGGGTATATAGATTATTTTGTTTGTACATGCAACATCTTGTTAAATACTCGCTTAGAAGGACAGTGTTGTTTACATGAGCATGCAATAGTTTTTTTTAGAAACGTATTTGCATCTGTTTAACACTAAAAATCATCAGAGGTGTGTGGGTGTGGTTTTATCAGATTTACCTTTGATTTGAAATCTGTCTTCCTCTCTTCGCAGAGCCTTGTCCACCCACAAACGTGTCGGTTGACATCTCCTGCGAGAACCGTAGTGCACTGGTGTCCTGGAGCCCCTCTCCTGTCGCTGAAAGCTACCATGTTGTCGCTAGAGCTGCAGACGGACACACACATACTTGCAACACCACCTCTAATAACTGCAACGTAACAGAACTCCACTGTGACGAGCAGTATACAGTCTTTGTGACGGCCAGCCACGAGAACTGCACCAGCAAGGCCAGTCAAAATGTCACAGTCAACACAGGTATTTGTCCAAATATACAAAAGAGAATACCAGTGCATGTACATACATTGACCCAAAAGGAATAAATAATATTCTTTTTAGTAGTTTGATCATTTTCTTTTTGCCCAGGTCCCTGCCAACCTGAGGATCTCTCAGTTACATACCACTGTAACAATCAGTCCGCACTGCTGTCATGGGCGGCCAGCGATAATGCCGGACACTACTATGGCTGTGCCCAGGCTGGAAATGGAGACATGCTGTACTGTCAGAGCACAAATCCCACCTGTAGTATCCAGGGTCTTGATTGTGGAACAGCTTACACTTTCTCTGTCCAGGCATCAGATGGGACATGCAACAGCTCCTTCAGTGACACAGTTCAGAGTGTAGCAGGTAAAGGAGCCTCATGTTCAAAGACTCAATATGTTTGTACTGTTGGCACTAAATGGAATAATACATCCTCCTCTCTCTCTCAGCTCCCTGTCCTCCAGACGCTGTTGAAGTGCAGCTAATGCCGGTGCAGACAGATGTCCAGACGATGCGCTTCAACTGGACAGAGGTCATCTGTAATGACACAGAGTACTTGCTGAAGTTAACAGGAAGCCTGCTGGGAGACAGCCAGGCCCAGTTTGAGGTCTCTTCTTATTGGACGAGCGTGACATACTTTGAGATTCCTCTCCCCTGCGGTTCAGACTATATTGCTACAGTTCAGAGCAGGACTGCTGCCGGTACCAGTGAGCCATCTGTGCCCCTCAATGGAACAACAGGTAGACTGCACTTAATACACAAGCTTCTTTGCTTATAGTAAATTAAGTAAAGCTGAAATCACTTAATAAAGGCTTAAGTCTATCCATCATTAACATCATTAATTACACCTGTTCTCTCTGTACAATGACATATCAAAAACTTTAAATTACTGTTAATCAGATGAAACAGAGGTGTTGTAGGTAAGGCACCTCAGTGTATGGGTTATATATGTTTTATAGTGAGTATGATTATGAACTCAAACCATCAAATTAAATGTTATTTCACACTTCCCCTCAAGATTGATCTATTATGGCAGGCATTTTGACATCTCCGTGCAGGACAATAAAAGGTGTGATTAATAACCCTAATAAAGGCTGCTTCAACATTTAGTCCTGAGCTGCTAAACAGCATGATGTAAATTAAAAGTTGGTCGGTTTGTGTTATGAATAAGCGCACGTTATCTGTCAAATAGATGGAGTGGAGTAGAAGTATGAAGTAGCAGAAAATGGCAATACTCCAGCAAAGTACTTAAGTACTTTATTACATTCCTGCATTGCAGAGCAGTGTTCCAGTCGCAGGGTCCTGGTATTGTGCATGCTGGCTCAGTCACAGTCAAGAATCACTTACTGGGACACAGAGCCATTGTGAATGTTATTAGTAACACCTGCTTTCACTACAATGACAAGTCACAATGTGTACTGTGAAAAAGACCAGTTATTGCTCATTTAGTGACTATTTAAGGTTATTGGCAAACATTTCAAACCATATTTTCATTTGGTTTTAACTAACCACTTTCTCCTCTCTCAGCTCCTTGCCCACCATCAGGAGTGGTGTACAGTGGTAACAGCTCCTTTGCCACAGTTTCGTGGAACTCCTCTGCGTATGCCACCACATACACAGTGTACGACAACGGTGTTATGCCAAAAATTGAGCTATGCAACACTGCAGGGCTGTCCTGCTCTCTGTCCAACATCAGTTCCACTGACCTGGTGATCACAGCCAGCAACACAGCTGGAGAGAGTGAAACAGCAAGTGTCGCAATAGGTAGGAACACTGTATGTGTGTGGGGAGAGGATGCTGTAGAAAGAAAACTGACACATTTTACTGTATTTTTAAATGAATTGATTGATGAATTGATGCTTTTTCTCTTTAGTGGAAATACAAAATCGGAGGAGGAGAGATCTCAGTGAACAAATGCCAGATGATGGTGAGTTTGTAAGAACAGATGTTAAGAAAAAGACAATACCATAGTATCAAAACATTTATTAATTTCCGGTTTTATTTTTAACCACTTGCGGCTGATCTTTTAAATATTAATACATGAAAATCTGTTTAAAGTGTGAGAGGTATGAGGGCCTTTCTTCAGGCATACTTGATTAGTAATAAGTCTTTAATGCTGCCTTTGATTAAGGGTGTTTTCACAGAGCTAAATAAGAAGGGGACCTACAAATATATATTAACATAATATCTAATTATGGGATCTAATTCACAACTGTGACTTGTCCCCCCCCCCCAGCAGGAATCCTCTCAGCTCCCATGGTGGATATCACAGAAGCGACGTCAACGGTTATTTTCGCTCAGTGGTCTCAAGTACGTGCCGCTTCCCATTACAGCCTGTTCATCAGGAAGCAAGGGGGCTCCAGTGAGGCGATGGAATATACGGTGTACGGCGAGAGCATCATTCTCACTGATCTGAGCCCCAACTCGATCTACTGTATCTCTGTGGAAGCCTGGAACTCAGCCACCAGTGGACCAGAGTCAGAGCCTGTGTGTGTGCAAACAGCACTGGGGCTTCCCCAGTAGGAAAACACTTATGTAGACAAAGCTAGAGGTTTACACACATCTCCTGGCTCAAATGTGATTACTGTCACTGAACGTGGCAGTGCTTTTAACTGCTTCCGATTTATAATCTCTAGTCACTAAACATACACAGCAATAACTTTAGAATCAGCAATTAGCGTGGGTTCATTTACATTTTTACTGACTTCCAAGAGCTGCACAATTAGTTGTTTGATGAGGTGTAACACAAGGGAAGATGTCCTCCATACAACAGCCCATACCCTGAGGATGTTTAAGTTCCTCCATTGAGCTATATCTTATGTCTGCTGTTGGTTGAGGTTATATATTTGTTATCTGGGGCTATGTTCCTCCCCCTTCTTAAATTTTATTTACTTATGTAAATGGTATATTAGTCATACGAGGAAGTTAATATTGAAGTTATTTTCAGGCTACATTCTAATAAAACTATTAAAACTATTGTGATATCCTGTGCCTTTTGTAACAATTGCATGCCCCTTTCTTTCAAAACAAGAACAATACGAGTTGTCTGTAAAAGTGATTTATTAGAAAACAAAATGCAACAGAGCAGTAATCCAAACACCGCACAAGCAGGGCTCAGTGTGTGGTAAAAAATTACCCTTTGCAGACTGTCCTTTCAAGGATTAAAACATTCTCAGGCTGTCTACACACAATCATGGACAGATTTGCTTTGTGTGATCCACATCGCCACTTCGCGCAACTCTGAGCCTCAACCGTTCACTTGTGACCCTTCAAAGAACGTGTAATCAGAATACAGCTGACCAAGAAGCTTAAAATATGAACGCACTGTAATATTAGTCAAATTTTAAAAATATGTGTTTGGACTTTTTTACAGCCAGAAAATAACAGTTCTTTATAAATTACATATATTATATGATAATAGTGTTGAGAATGCACCTCAGACCACTCATCGTGTGTAGACAGCCTCCAAAACATTATGTACAAACCCACATCTTCCTGGGGCAAAAGAACGAACCATAGAAAATTAAAATGCCATTTTCGCCACTTTTGAAATTTCAAGTGAAGACTAACAATGGTCTAACGGGGAGTGAAAAAGGCAGAAAAACATAAACGTAAAGCAACATTACATTGGCCAAGGACAACAACTCCAGATGTCCGATGTGCTGACATTCCTTCTCTTTAGCACAAGTGACAGACCAGACAACTGGTAGAAAAAAGGAAGAAAAACACAAGAGTAGAAGAAGTAATATTGCTGCAAGGCGACATTTACTCAGTGCTCTGACTCCTTCTGCGTTCACTATGTTTACTATGGTCGTTGCTGGACTCGCGCTGATGGTGGCTTTTCTCTTTGCTACGACTACGTTTGTGAGGGCGCTGTTCTCCATCCCTCTCCCTGTCTCTATCTCGGCTGTGGCTGCACTCTCTTTTCCTTCCCTTGTCTTCTCCCCCACTTTTGTGCCTCCTCTCCCTGCTTCGACTCCGGCTCGACCTTTTGGCCTTCCTCTCTTCTCTGTGCCTCTCCCTGTCGTCTTTATGCCTCCGGTCATCAGTCTCTCCCCTGCTCTTTTTATCCCTGGACTTCTCCCTTTCAGCGACTCTATCTTTATGGTGTTCCCTGTCCTTCCTCCTGCTCTTGTCCTCCCCGCCATCTCTTTCTTTGTCTCTACGTTCGCTCTTTCGGTCCCGGCTCCCACTGAGACTCCTTTTACGTTCCCGCCGGTCTTGGTTCCTGTCGGCGCTGCGGGACCGCCGCCTCTCCCTCTCGCCTCGGTCCCCTCTGTCCCTATCTCTGCCCTCCCTCTCCTTCCTCTGGCGGTCACGCTCCCTCTCCAGCTCTCGGTCGAAGCTGGGGCCATGGCGCTCTCTCTCACGGTGGTGGCTCCTGCTCCGCGACCGTTTGGGTGATCTTCGGGGGCTCGGTGTCCGCCTGGGTGTCCTGGCAAGATAGGAATCATTAGCTTCAAGCAGTTTAATGTTCCGGTCTAATAAATTATAGATTACATAAACCATCAGAATGATCCAACAATAAGTGCTACCCAATGACGCTTTGGTAGTAATTAACAGTAAATATTCAAAGCTTATGTGTTTAGCCTTATCTTTTTTTATCTGTCCAAAAGACTGATGGCAGTAGCGGTATGGTCTACTAACAATCGCACATGCTCTGCCGAGAGACAGAGAGAGATGTAAGCCTCCTTCACACGCAGCTCACTTGCTGTTGTGAAAACAGAACTCAAAACACAAGTTGTGTTTTTGGGCAACACTAAAACCCATACTGCTGCAAACAAAAGTCAGCAGCGGACGGATACAGCCTGTATGTGTCTGTCCCTGTCGGAGGCAGGCTGGTGTAGGTACATGTGCGAATATCCAAATCCCAAAACTGAAAAAACAAATATCTGAAAAGCCGAATAAATGACTCAGTTGCTCCACTTGAAACAAGTTAAAACAAAATCAAACAAACAAAAACCCAACCCTACCTCTGACTAGGACACATGGCTCACACACACAACTAATTTCTGAGAAAATACATTTCCCTGGATCAAATATTTAAAGTACAATGAAAGGTGAAACGGGCTAGGAAGATGTCAATCAATGGTAGCCACACACAGTTCTGAGAAAAGGTGCAATCAGGTAAAACAACTCACATAACCTGTGTAGCTGTAGCATGGGTGTGTGAGTTTTAAAGCCAATAATAACAGAGTCATGGCCAGCTTTCACTCGTTTAAATTTCACAATTCTTACAGTTTGTGCTGGGAGTGAAAGCTAGCATAAAACAGGAAAATTAACTCTTCCATTCCAATCAGTAACAAAAGAAAGCGATGAAGCAAGATAAGATTGGCTTGGGAAAAAATAAGTTGGCAATAAGTAGTCTGAACCATTTGATGCGTTACCTCGAGCGTCTTCGTTCTCCTTGCCTCCCCGTCTCTGTGCTTGCTGCCTCCTCCTCCTCCTCCGGTGCCTCCTTCTGAGCAACCTTGCGAGGTCTAGCCTTCATCTGCTGGTCAATAATCTTCTGCACAGGCACTGGGATTCGGGGGAAGAGAGTGGAGAACCACTCCAGTTTGGTCAAAAAGGAGCGCAGCATCTCTCCAATGGTCATCACACAGCCACCTCCTGCCTTCACGTCGAGTTCCTAAAATCAAACGGTGGGAAAGAGCCATAAAATACTCAATTAGTGCACACAGGCAGGACGCAGGTAAATCTGATCGCTTGTTGTCAATCTTGCCTTAAGTCAAAAAGCAATTTGTGATGACCAAGTACTGAACCTTCACCTCTGTTCATCTAGCTTAATCTCTCATATCAATCAAATGTGTCTGGCTTTACTTTAATAATTATAAATAGAAGAAACAAAACTATAGATATCATTAAAAGTTTGCCTTATCTAAACAGTTCCTGGAGTCTGTATTTACAATGTTAGCTTTAATAATCAAGCAAATGTAATATTTGTAAAGTCCGCCCCCCTCGTTTCCTTCACATTGTCTGTTTAAACAGCATCTTCAAAAAGTGGTTGCATCTGCTGTTTACAGACCAGAAATGAAAGGAAGGGAAAGCAGAATCTGAAAACACTGAGACACACCCTCATTGGGCCAAAGGGACAAAGAGAGAGAAGCCTTAGCTTCCTTCTTCAGTCTCCCAAAAGCACAATGAATTCTTCAGGGGTGGAGGAGCATAAAAATTGCCCACAGTGTAAGCACAGACTGGAGCAGGTATCTAAGTGCACACCAGTTGAAGAGTTGTTAACTTTATATGGTAGAGAACAGCTGCTTTGCACTCACACACGCAAACCAACAGTGCTGAGATACAATATCCAATTCACCTGCTGCACATTGGGCATCTAAAGAAAAAAACAGGGGAATTAACCAGTTGGGTAGGATTTCATATGATCAATTCAAATATAATGCAACAGAACATCATAGGAGGCCTGGTTGCACAGCGTGGGATCAAATTATATTTTACTTTAACATGGAGAAAACACACTAGATTTGACGTTTGACACAGTTGACATGAGCTATATCATTTGTGTGTGTCTGTTTGAGTGTAAAACTGTATGAAGTATGAATGCTCCAATTTTTATTTATTCCAAATTTAGTTTTGTGCAACAAGTCCTGATAAAAGCTTGTCAAAAACAAAGGGCATGCCTTAAAATTACATTGACTAAAATATTTACTCAGCATCATATATTGTACTTACCCTGATAAAAAAAATCAGCAGCAGAGGAGTGAGCAAGTAACCTAGCTAATGAGGTTTAGAGGACAAAAATTGGGGACAATTAAGCCAAATGAAGGCAAAGGTGAAAAATCAGCTATGAGCATCACCAGGGCCGAGAAAAACCGGCGGCGCGGAGACAGACCAGTTTCGTCTAACGTGTTGTGTGCCTGTGTATTTCATGGAGAGAAAGAAACATCAAATTATTACCCGAGGTGACATACCTCCTCATCATCCAGGAAGCCGTCGTACCATTCTATCAAATCTGCTGGGGGCTGAGTATATCTGAGGCAGAACCAAACAGAGAGCACAATATGTTGTGGCAGAAAGTCATGTTGCACAGATTTCAATTATGTTTTTTCAATCAACCTGTTCAGGTGATACTTTATACGCTGATTTTTGAATTCCCCTTATACATATTAGAAACATTTTAGCAGCATATTAGTAATTGCAACATCTATTATCATCTAGAAACTCACTTTGATACTTTTGTAATATACAGTAGTCTCGTCTTAAAATGATAGTTTTAATAAAACACTTCAAATAATAAAATCATTACATATCTTTCTTTTGAAAAGGAAGGTTATCCAGCATTCAGAATATCTAGTAATACAGAGAATCAAATATAAAAGAAACGTTCCACATTAGAAGAATTGAGGTGCATACCTTATGTACATGAAGCCAAGTGCTCTGATGTATGGAGAGTCTGTGTGAGTGATCAGACCCATCAGCTGTTTGCGAGTCAGCTTGAGAGTAAACAGTTTGTATAGAAGACAGAAAGCAGTAGAGACAATACCACCAGTCCCAACTCCTCGCACCTAAAGGGATGAAGACACATCTTTACAGTGCATAACGGCATTTATGTATTCAGAACGACTGGCCCTTTGACAAAAAATACTCAAGTATTCAAGTACAGTATCGCAGGTACTAATGTGAATCATGTACATTTTTCATACTTGTGTACTTATATGAAGCGATTTCAACCGTATGGGAAATACAGAGGGAGGGGGGGATGGGGAATATAAAAAGCACGTACTTCTCACTTACCCCTCCGCACATTCCAGTCTGGCCGGCGGTCTTTCTGCTTCCCTTTTCCCAAGGCTCAACGTGATTTACCTGCAGCCACAAAGAACAACATCAGGTCAGTTGATAGACACACACACACACACACACCTGTCCGTCTCACTGATAACTTATATTAAAGACGTATTCCAAATTAATGATACCTCTCTCTTAACTTGTTTCCATAACAATCCTGAAACGTCTCAATCCTTTCTAAGTTATGACCTAATGTTAGCCTTTTAAAATGACCAAAACATCAGGACCGGGTGGCACCAGCTATGTGTAAGTCCTCTCTTAAGTTGGTGTGTAAAAGCAGCACCAGAGGCTTAGAAACTACTAACTGTGTTACTTAGTTTGTAACTAAATCAGTTACTGATTACTTTTGGACGTGAAATTACAACTTAAGCAAGTGGCCAATCAACGATCAAAGATACATCACCATGGTTACCATGTGCAGTGGTTTCTGGCTGCGCGAGTCACCTGGTTTCGTAGCACATCGTAGTAAGCTAGATCGATATTGAAATATACCAATAATTTATGTATCTACTCAATAACTGTGTCGCAAAATGGCTGCAATTAATGTGTAACGTTAACTAGTTTTTTAACGTTTTTAGTTTACTTAGAGTTAAGTTGTAACTTATCACCGGGATGCAACCGCTTTTGTTTTAGTAATGCATAAATCACAACTTGGAGATACTTTATGTTATAACTAGGCTATGTTTGAGCTCGCACAGAGCTGGTGCCACAGGCTGCAGTAGTCCGACTAACTGAGTGAACCCGCCGTAATGTTGAACCACTCTGTCTTTGTAACGGCAGACAACTAGCAATTAGCTTAGCTGCTAGGTAGCCAATAAAACACTAATGTGCAATTATATGAAATAAACGGACAACTGTTTCGAGTTGTTAAGTTAAGTTAGTTGAAACTCGCTCTGTCTGATTGCCCCCTATAATCTACCACCTGCAGTACATCGCTATCACGGTCAGTTAACGCTAGCCTGACTCGACAGTGGTTATCTAACTAGCATGCGGCTTAGCATTCGCTAATGTTACCTTGAAGTAGATTTCGTCCACAACTTCATGGTAGGTCTTTAGTTCATAAAGCTGAACTTTGAAATACGGCGAAGACAGTACATTTGTAAGAATCATTGGGTTGAGATTCATAGTCTTTTCGTTGCCCCACAGGGGCAATACATTTCCATGTTTTCCTGGTGCAGGCTTGCTAACGGCCTGTGTTGGTAGCTGGTTTCCGACGTTAGCCATGTTAGCTGATCCCACGCCGCTACGCTTAGTTTACAGTTAGCGTATTTACCATTACAGATCCATCAATATTAGGTAGTGAAATGTCGACCGTTAACGATTTCGTCCGTTTGGTAATTGCTGATTTGTGGTTAAATTGATGATAGCAACTTCCCGCCGTCGTTGTAGCTAAAGTGCTGTTGCGAGGTGGAACCGGAACTGTACCGTCGGTGGTGCAATGTGAACTCACTGCTGCTGGGAACGTCGGTGATACGCTCAATGTTTCGCTTTGGAAATAAAAGCATGTACTCAGACACCAAATTGATTTATGTTTGATGAACGCAAACAAAAATAATAATAATAATAAGCTTTTGTACAGACAATGTGTAATTATTATATTATTATATCATGGTGTACTCAATAAGTTACCCCTTTTCTTTACATATCTAAGTGCTTTATAGACGTTTACTTTGAAATGTTTGTTTTACCTAAACCGGAAATGGTATTGTCGATCTCGTTTATGTGATTTCTATATGCCGCTTTTAAGGGTTTAATTTTAACTGTCCACTGACCCTTTCTCTTTTCATTTTATATTTCTCTTTAATTCTAATTCTGTGTCAGACTTTCCTCAACACTCATTTTGTCCTTTCAGCACAAAACGTAGTTATTATCCAGAGTGCACTTTTTTAAAAAAATACTTTTTATTTGGCCTTAAATACGACAGCAACATTCTACCATCTTAAAAACAACACATAGATAACTTAACACAGTTGACTACATACATAGTTTACATACTATAGCTATGACGTCTTAAGTGGCAGCACATATACAAAATCAGTGGTAAAAATAAATTCATCGCTTTTGACTTCATAGACAGTCATACAAGCACACACACCCACAATCGGAACAAAGGAAAGAAAACATAGAAAGAAAAAGAAGAAAACAAATTATATTTTAACTTATATTTTAAATGCAGTCACCCTCACTCACAACCAGGTGAATGGAGGTGTATCTGTAAAGGGACTGAGCTACAAACACACAGTGGTGCTGTAACACCAATTCCACAGTGTCAGTTTTCTATTATTTTAAATATATGGGACGTCAAGGAATGGACACAGTCCCCCCATCCAGATGTTTACAGTACAAATAAAATGGTGAAACAAAATCAACCATACCAAAGTAGAAACATGTTAGATAATTTAACATAAAAAACAGAGATACCCCATGACAATTCAAATGTCACCAAGATGGGTGAACAATATGTGTAGAATTACAGTAGTAACCCCTAGTCTTTCTTGTTTCATAGAGCACAAGACTAACAGAAATGTCAGTACACCAGTTAATCTCCTTCACCAAAATGTTCCAAAAATGTGGCCTTCAACTCCACTTCTTGAACACTAGAGGGCTCTCCTGGTCAGCAGACGCTGTAGGTCAGATGCAAGCAGGAGCAAGTTCTGGGAGCACCTCCACTACTCAGTCTTATGTCCCCCGCATCAGTGTAATACGGCACCCTTCATGACAGCCACATGCTTCCCAAAGCCTAGCGCTTGATCACCACCTGCTCAAAGGCTCCAGCTGCCACCCTGAAAGAGAATGCCACAATGTGTTACGTGACAGGAAGAGAGGGTAGTTATCAGATCTGGCTGCTGTGCCGTCTTGTATGTTTAACGATGTGTTGTGAAATTTAATCTTAACATTAAATTTTACATTTTAGAAACAAACAACGTGATGACCAGTCATGTGGTTAATAAAAAGACACTGCATAAGAACCCCCATTTAGCATATGTGCAGTGAATTTATATTTGCAGTAAATGCCTGGTGCGTGGCACCCACATCCCACAGTTACATAATCACACCCACCTCGTGTGCTGGCTTCCTAAGGCTGTACTCCCACCAGGACCAACAAACAAGCTGAGCCCCTCCTCTGCAGCAATAGACACATACACACACATTAGAAATAAGGATAGTGACAATCAGTGCACTGTAAGGGTTTGAATGGCTCACAATAGTTTCTAGAACATCTAAAAATAAATGACAATTGATAGGGGAACACTGTAGGGGAAGTTGGTGAGGCAGGTGACAAAGCAGCATCCAGAGAGTTAGTTTATAGTTGAGGAACCATCAAAAATGTGTTCAACAGAGTCACCATTTCTTAACACAATGAATGATCCTCTACATTAACTCTGTGGTTAAGGGCAGGGCTTTGTAACATGACTGCCATATTGTGTGCTCAGCTATCAGTGAGGTTAACCTGCCCTTGTGATATTCATAGGAATGATATGTAACTTAAACTCTGTTATCCTTAATCAAATAGACTTTTATTTAGGCTGGTCATTATGTAAGTATGGTCTAAACTGAAGCACAATGTATGATTTGCCATCATAAATGTCTAATCATCATTTATCATTTGAAGGAAGTACTTAAAGACATTGCGTTGTTGCATTGCGACACCTCAAAGTAATCTGATCCCATCAGCAAGATGGTAGGCAACTTTCCAAGACAGCCTTCATAAGTCCACTAAGTTAGAGATTTGGTGTACACACCCTCTGCACTGGAGTCCAAGAAGCCATGACTAAAATCCTGGCTCTGCAGGATTTTCTCTATTATGTCATCAGCATCCACCCTGGTGGCATCAACTCTCTTCAGCTGATTCTCCATTGAGTTCTGCTTCACTAAATGTCTAATGAAGAAACAGAAACAGCATGGAATATAACACAAATGTGCTTCATAAAAAATACTTAGACTGGACCAAAATAGTTTTTCTTTATGAAATGTTTTAAAATCAGAAAATAGACTTAAAATTGTATCATATTCAGACTATGGTAACCATGTGTATTACTTTGGAACTTTAGCAGGGGTAGAGGGGTGTTCGGGTGCATGGTGACAGGTTGCATAGACTGGGGGAGTGGTCCTGCTCTCCCTTTCTCCTCTCTCCCCCTGGTGATCATTGGTTTCCAGGATGCTGCCGATGCCTGTGGAGGCAGAACCTCCTGACGCGCTTCGCCGATGGCTCAGATCTGTTAAACTGGAGTGATTAGAGCTGTAACCTACCGGACAGGAGAGAAAGCACACTGAGGTTATTTGTATGATTTGTTTAACCGGTGGGGTAGTAATGTTGATTTTGTTTGAAGGGAATAAATATGTGTCTCTTTGTTTGGTACCTGAGATTTTTGACTGCTGACTTGCATGGCTGGGTGTTCTAGAGTGACCATAAGCTACCAGCTCCTCTGGAACGGATACTGACTTTCCATGAGTCTCTAAATGAAAAAACACCCACAAGTATAAGCAAAACAGTTGTACACACAGCTTCTGTGTTCAGAGGAAGTGTTTATTCTTTATGATACTTTGTATTCAGAGGCTAATGAAAAGAAAAAAACGATTTAGAAAATTTTACTGTTGACTACTGTAAACCTTGACTACTAAAATCTTGCTATTGTAAGGAATAGCAAACTCTTCTCAGCCTCAGAGTCTGTATGCACATACCAGTGAGGGAATGGGATATGTGCATGTCCCCTCCCTTTCTGTCCTCAAGGAGACACTCTGCTACAGCCTGTGGGATTCCCAGAGTCATAGCTGTAGATGGAGGACTAAAGGGAACACAGGAAAGACTGATGTTACTGAGAAGCAGAGCGGTGTCTGAAGTGTTCCTATAACTGCTTTATCAATAACGTTGCATATGTTTACCTGCATGCTGCTACCCAGGAATTGTCTAATCTTTCCATAAACAACAACTTATGCCAACCAAATCACAAAATATTGCCCATTGCGATAATGAAACTCACATATTCCTCTGCTTCTTAGTCAAAAAGGTGAATAGCTTAGAACTGCAGTAACACTGGGATGTTTTTTGTTTGTTTCAGCCTATACACGTCATTAAGTTGTTGTTTTATGCTGATGCAGACATCAAATACACCTTTAAATATTAACAAATGCTGTAATGTGTAATGATTACACTGCAGATATTTAAACACATCAGCAATAAAACATCAAAGACTCTCTGATTAAATTATACATGAATTATAAGTGGATAACTTATACAAGTCTATTAAAATAGAGTGACAATCACTTTTCAACAATGTCCGGTTTAGCAGACAGGAAATCACTCTTGTTGGCTGCTGAGATGCAATGTTAAACAGAAGAATGAGGGCGGAAAGGTAGACAAAGAGTGACAGACACACAGTGAAAAAAAACTGAGCGTCATCTTTCTTGTTATACTGCTGTAAATCCTCCACACTCTATGAGTAACACTGCGTGGGATGAATGACTAGGCCACACTTGAGTTTACACTTTAGACATCTCCTAGGCAGCAGCGTGTGTATTATTACATCAGCAGGGCGTTGGGACATGAAAGAATACAGGGAAAGACTTGGTGCTGGTTGAAGAAAGCTAACTGTGTACACATGTGACAGGCTTTCCCAGGAGTGTGATGTTACACCACGTCCTTCGTGACAAACTGCTCTACACACACAATACAACCTCTGGGCTGAGCTGATCATATATCAGCTGTTGTTATTCACTGAGGTTTGGCACATTAATGTCTGGGTGAGGTGTTATCAGCTCCCAGATAAGACTGTGATAAGATCTTAACCAGAAAATAATACTTCATGACTTTAAACTTCGTAGGTAATATTGGAGATAATATAGGAGAGTGCGTTTTCAGTTAGGTGACAAACAGGATATGATAGAAACACTTTCCTCTGTGGTTAGATGCAGACATTTCTATTTGGAGTACAGACTTTCTTTGCAACCACAACTAGGTTAAACATTTTGCGGACAAGTCGACATTTCCTCAGTTACGAGTTTGAAACTGAACTGATATTCAGACTTTTAATGATGATTGATAAACAGACGCACAAAATCAAAATGAGCTCTTACGTTTTAAAACAGGGGTCTCCGGACATAAGCTGTGTGGTGATGACAACCTGTAACAGGAAAAATCACAAGAGTAATGTCAGTTTTGGGCTGACAAGCAAACCTTTAGTTTGAAAAGGGTTGCTGTTCTCTATCTAAAGCATGCAATAAAAATGCCATTGCAAATTCCCATGGCTCAGACAGTTTATAGATGACAGGCTCTGACATGTACTGAGCCTATGACGTCAGGTATTTTAGCGTTCCCATGCATAAATCAAACTTTTTTGATTGGAGTGTCTGCTGATTAACTCCATAAATGACGACTTGCTTCAGAATAGCAAGAACAGGTTGTGGGCGTATCTTTGTTCTGGCTAAATAACAGCTATGCATTAAAACACTGCCACACCTTCAGAATTGAGTTGTCTTGTCTGGTGTTCTTGGTGTCATATCCCTCTAGGAGACACCGCCGTGTAGTGCTGCCAGATCCAGCAAACTCAGACAGGTTCAAATCAGCAAAGCCCAGCTGCACGGAGATAACAGAGATCAAGAGTTTGAATCATTTGAGTTTACATTGTTAGATATACAATTTTACTGAATATAAATTGTATTGAACAGAGTCTGTGAAGTTTCCTCTGTTTGTGAGTGTGAGCACTAATAATCTCTTAGTACATAGTGTCTTCCTGTGGTAATGTGGTATTATAAAACATTCAGTAATCAACACATGAAGAAATACAACCCAGCTCAGGTTTTTGGAAACACAACCTAATGCTTTAGCTCATAATTAAAGTTACTGGTTAACATAGTGTGGGGTTTTGATTTACAGATTTTTTAATTAGTAACCACAGCCGGAAACTAGAAATAAAAACATTGTCAGTAAATAGACCAACCGAAAGGTGCTCCAAGGGCACTTGGAGGCCGACTGCTATCGCATTCATTTCATGATAAGACCGCTCTAATGGATCTCTGGTACTTAAGCTGCTCTGTTTACAACAAATGCCTGTCAACAGAAGTATTACCTTTGCAAACGTTTTTCCACCCTTCAATTCCTAAAATGACAAAAAAAACACAAGAATTAGTGAGAATACATTTCCCCCTTTTCATTACTATGTCACACACTAACTTTCATTAAAACATTTGCGACTCTTTGCAGTGTGACCATTGCAACAAAGCACTTGTGGTTACAATTTAACAGTGAACTGTCTGGACTCTGCTATGGAACATGCATTTTTGTAGTGTCAACAAAAAAGAGCTTGATGGCAGAAAAAAATGTCCTGTACCTTGCGGACAGACACCCGGCACAAACAGGGGTCTAGTACACCTGTCCCAGCACTGGCACTCATCTTACACATGAAGGAGAATCTCTTCTTCCAGTGCACACAGTTGGCTTGGACTGACTCCCTGTGAGAGAAGCACATTTAAAAACACTACTTTACACGCAAACTAAAACACACACTGAACACTGAAAGAGCACATATTAATCACACATCTGCCAGAGCTATGTGGTGCATTTTTTGAACTAAAATGTGAATATGTAAAAGAACGTAGTGGTAGTTAATTTAGTCTGTGAAATGAGCTTGTGGTCTTCCACAAGGCTTTGAGCTTTCTGCTACAAAGTTATATTAGATGATGGGGCAACAGGACAGTTACATGCTATTATGTATGAATGTTGACCTCACTTCTGTGATGGGATGCTAACTGTACTTGATATATATATTTTAAAAGAAAACAGGCCTTTGAGACAAATGAGAGTTTAATTTTGGGCAATATTAGTAAATTTGACTCCACAGGGCAGAAACAGACAGCAGAATGCAGAATAGACAGTGCTGATCATTGGCAGCAGCATTAAAGGGGGCGAAGCTTCATAGTATGTGTTTGCCACTAGGATATAAAAATGTTATTGCAGCTTCATAACATTGAGATCTTTTAGGGGTTTTAGGAGTCTTTTAAAAAGAATAGCGGTATAAACATAACTAACCTAAAATATGAATCACCATAACACCCATACATCATAAACTAGACAGTCGCTATGCCTGTATTTGGAAAGAAAAATGACAATAGTTGTGGTTGGAGCAGGATACAACTAAGAATACAGAGTTTACACTGTAGCTTTTTAGGAACAGTCACCATGGTAAAGTCATTGGGTTAGCGGTTGTGTGTCCGTTTTTCCAGTGACTCATTTCAAAATGCACCAAGCAGTTTTAATGACAGGCCCGAGGGGATTAACCGTGCATGCTCTCTTGCAATGGGGAAAAAATAAGTTTGTGGTTGTCACTGTCAGAAAGAGAAACAATCCCATAATAATGTTCAGATGAAAGAGAAAGAAAAATTAGCCGGAGACAAATTCGCCACCATAACAGTCTGTTCTATTGAACAATCGTACAAAAGTAGTTATTATTATTATAAACTTTTTAAATCTTTTTTTTATTTACTTCCAACAATTGTAGACTGTGTACACAAATTAAGTTCCTCACGAAAATAATATATCATTTAATAAAGTTATTTAGATTAAATTCAACCTAACGTTACTTGTTGCTTAGCAACTGAACTGTGTAAATAAGGGCTAACGAAAAAACTATTTCCATTCTTTAAAAAAGTAGCTGTCGTTGCCTTTTACATGTATTTCAAGTGCTACACAAGACTGGGTGAGCTATAATCTTTTAAATATCGTCCTTGTGAAAACAAAATTAAATCATGTTGAGGCAGAAATCCCCTTTAGTGACATCTCTCAGCCCGCTGCGTTGTACTGTTTCATACAGTCTGGCTGTGCTCTAACGTTAGTTAACATACGGTTTCCTGCTCAGCTTTGTATAACGTTAGTTAACCCGGTGGATAGTTATAATAGTTAGTTACTGTGCAGCTACACGTTAACTACACATTCATTAACGTTAACGCCGTTAGAAGCAACGTCGACACAACAAATGGGAAAAAACGAAAAACGACAAACTAAACAGTCGCTTAAAATGGTCAAAAACAAAACACAAGTTTAGCTTAAATTTAGAACAACCGGTAAACTGTCGCTATAAATAGCAAAACTTCTTACCGAGACGACTCTTCAGCAAAGCCTCCATCTAGGAGTCTAACTTTGCAGAATAAGACTCCGTTTACGAAGGGAACCGAGGACAACTCCTCCAGGTCGAAGTCCACTTTGAATTTAAACCTCTTTTTCTTCGTGAGAATGAACGACATGGTGTATCCTTGAACCGTGAGCAGAGACCGGGTCACAACAAGCCCTGAGTGCAGCGGTATAAAGCTGACAGACAGCTGAACACTTTCCCCCCGCTCCGTGCTCACACTGCTGCTCTCTCAGCTGCTGCCTGCTGCCCTGACTCTGCATTCAAAGTTCAAATCTCCTCCTGCACACACCCACCGAAAAACACACTGCATGACGAGAGGGACAACCCGCGGTTTGATTGGACACTGCTGCTGCTGCTGCAGGGAAAAAAACAGAGAAATACCGAGGTCACGGTTGTGGTGGTGGTCATTCAAAACGCCCACTGGAAGGAGAAATATACTGTTGTTGTCTGCGTTATCAGCACAGGCTACAGTGAAAGGTTAATGCAATGCAGTCACATTTCTCCCGTGACCACAAATGTGGGAAAATGAGAAGTGGGATTCATAAAGTCAAGACAGCGTCCATTCAGCTGATATGTGACTAAAAAAGACAATCTGTCTGAACACCCAACAACCAACTCAGGTCAATTCAAAGGGGCTTTATGGGAAATATATAGATAAAGTATAAAATGTATGTTTAGAACAAAAATGAACTTAAACCAGAAAAACCTCACAAATACAAACAAGTGAGAACTTTTTAAAAGGTAATTGTGTGTGTGTAGGTCACTCCCTGTCCCTCAGGTTGTGGCTTATTAATACATATTGGGCAGCACTATATGCCCTGTCTCCTTCTCCTTTGAGTGGTCATTGAAATCTGGGTTTAATTTGTCAAAATAATGTGTCATATACTGATTATATTATTATTACTAATGCATCCATAGCTAAGCAGCATTATAATGTTGTATCTGGTCGAGGTGGGGACATTTTATCCCCTTATATATTGTTGAGTAGTTCAGTCTATAGCAGTGCATCAGCATTTTACAAACTGTCCATATGTTTTATACTTAACTACTTAAACACTTGAGTTATTGGTACTTTCAACCACTCTGTCTGAAAGCCTAAATATACTTTATACAACAAATTAAAAATGGCCAGTTTAATAAACACCTCTGACAGTCTAATAACAATTCAGTAAAATGAATCAGTCTATAGTTGAATTGAGGGGCCCAGAGACGCCACACACAAGGCCCCTAACTGTTTTATATGAGGAAACACCGCCCTCTAGCGGCCAGCGGCGGCGCTGCGCTGTGGGAAATACTACACCGAGTGTTTCTGCACCGACACGTCCTGCTAGATGAAGAGATTACATTTCTCCTGTAAGGCTCACCATCTCACATCACACGGGACGAGGGTTGAAAAAAAACGTCGAGAAGGTTCACTATTAGAAGCAGAAACCGGATTATGCATATGGTTAATCCGGGGATTATTTATTTGCCATCTTTCCTCTATTCCGTAGAAAACAGCGACGCAGCCGTATCGCTCCGCCCTCAGCTGCTGCAGTTCCTCCTCAGTCGCTCCGGAATACACCTTTGCACGGGACAGCCTGCAAAATAAAGTCACTGGAAACCCGTTGTCTTCATCGCGAAAGCAGAGCTCGTATTGGACTTTAGCAAGGTTTAGTATTGCGCCTCAAAATGGATTAATGATCAGATCCGGACTGCACGCCGCTTCCACAGTAGCGCTACAATGTATCCGACGTTACGGACGTTTTTACTATCAAATGCCCGGTGCTGGGATGCCGACAGTAAGAGGTCATACCAGGACCTGTTCGAGAGGCTTGATACCAATAAAGATGGGAAGGTGGACGTGGCTGAATTACGAGCGGGCCTCAAGGCGATGGGCATATTCCGACTGGGTGCTGCACAGGTACATTCAGGGACCGTGGGGCTCCTGTATTGACAAGAGTTTTTAGGGTTTGGCCTGCTCGTTTTGCATGAAATTCCATAGTGTGACTGTGTTGCTGGCTGTGTGTGTGTGTGTGTGAGAGAGAGTCACTCTGATACGCTGCACCAGGAGCAGGCACATGAACCATTCGATTTTTTTTATCTCATCTTTGCAGAAAATCGTGTCGTCTGGTGACCAAAACAAAGACGGGTGCCTCGACTTCAACGAGTTCTCCAAATATCTGAAAGATCACGAGAAGAAGCTGCGCCTGACATTCAAGAGTCTGGACCGAAATAACGATGGTAGGAGCTGAGGGGCTGCAGGAGCTACCTCACTGTAAAAATACTTGGCATAAGTGTCCACACGTAGGACACATGCCAGTGGATGTTTACAGAAGCACATACTCTCTGTTTGTACTGCAGCATGTTTGAGTTTTTTCTTACTGTTGTGTCAGGGCGCATTGATGCTTCAGAGATCCAGCAGTCCCTTGCAGAGCTGGGCATGGACGTCAGCAGAGAGAATGCCCTAAAAATACTACAGAGGTTTGACCTCCACTATTATCCACTGTATCATGTTCTTATTTACGTACAAATATTGCTATCTGGCTTTATCTGGCTCAGAGTTGTGCTTATTACCATGTAACGCGACATAAAAGGTCAGTAGTTCACAGGTGAAGATGTTGTCTGTGTCTCCTCAGCATGGACATTGATGGGACCATGGTGGTGGACTGGAACGAGTGGAGAGAACACTTCCTGTTACACCCGGCACAGAACCTGGAAGAGATCATGCGCTACTGGAAACACTCCACGGTACGGGACGCATACACACAAACACTGCTAAATACACTCTGTAGTCAAATACAGATGCAACTGCGGTGGGGTAAATCATGTGACGCCTAGTCCTCTTCTGTCAGATATTATGGATTTTCTCTGCAGTCCGTATTTTGGCAGCAGCTTTTAAAGACTGGATTGTCCAACATAATTAGGTCGCAGCACTACACTCTGTTTCCCTCAGCTTGCTCCTCCAACTCTAGTGCTAATAAATATGTCATTGACTGGTTTGTTGCTTCTCCTGCACAAGATGTTTGCTCGCTCATGAGCAGAACAGTGCCTCTCTTCTGTTTCTAAATGTTTAGAAATGTTAAAGTCTCCACTGCATTACACATTTATGGTTTCTTAAATAACAAACCCAGTCAAAGCTGCGTTGTCATACCACAGTAGTGACCACAGGACACACAGCTAACTGCACCAGCCATTGCAGTTCCCTGCAGAGTTGCATCAAATTGCCACCGCTCCATGTTTGCCACCGACACATTTATGCTTTTGGAAAAACATTGGACATGTTGATCTGACACAGCTGAAGTGTGCAACACGAGGGTTCAGTCAGCTCAGTGATTATGGTTTCACAAGCACTTCTAGCTAAAGGGCAAGGAGCTCAACTCATTGTTTGTTTGTTAGAACAAACAACTCATGCAGTTTTATCCTGTTTTTCACAAAATATGTAGTGAAAAGAAGCAAGTTATGCCTCTTATGTGTTCACTACCTTGAAACGTTTCATTCAAGGTTTTGTAAACGTTGCCCTCATCTCCAGCGTACAACTGGTAATTTGGCAAGATTGAAATAGGTGTTGCTGTCAGTGTGAAAATAGACCTCAAAAAGAGAAGTGCTTGTGACTTGTAGCTTCCTGAGAAAGACACATTCTCAAAGGCCAAATAATTCTGATATTACATGTTACAGTGTGATATGTTACAGTATCTATTGTGGCCACAAACTTTGTTTATAGCTCTGACAAGAGCAATTTTGCTGACACACATGGTGTCCATGAGTAAAGGTGATTTGAGTACATTTGTTTATGTAATCACTAGGTGCTGGACATAGGTGACAGTCTTGCCATCCCAGATGAATTCACAGAGGAGGAGAAGAGCTCAGGCGGCTGGTGGAAGCAGCTTGTTGCAGGCGCAGTGGCAGGGGCCGTCTCTCGTACGGGCACTGCCCCTCTGGACAGAATGAAAGTCTTTATGCAGGTGAAATATATATGAACGAAAATGTATTCTTTCCCTCAGGGAGATCAGTTAAGAAACAGAATAATGTGAACAGTCCTGCAAACACTATATATTTGAACTGCAGGTTCATTCTTCTAAGACCAACCGGATAAGTCTGATTGGCGGCTTCAAGCAGATGATCCTAGAGGGAGGTATAACTTCACTGTGGAGGGGGAATGGGATCAACGTTTTAAAGATCGCGCCCGAGACGGCAATCAAGTTCATGTCATACGAGCAAGTAAGGGACTGAAAGCTCTTGATGGTATTCATTACAGTTTTAAAACATAATAAAAACATGACATAACAAATATTTAGAGCGCATATTTATCTTCTTGCCGTTTGTATGTTTCCTGTAGTATAAGAAGTTATTATCATCAGAGGGCAAGAAGATTGAGACACACAAGAGGTTTATGGCTGGCTCTTTGGCTGGGGCCACAGCACAGACAGCCATCTACCCAATGGAGGTAAGACAACTGTTGCATCACTGTTTCATCATACTGTCTCGTTCAGGACATGCATTAAAATAAACAAAGTCAGCTTTTTGTGAAGTTCCCCCCAAAGCTTCAAAATACAACACTTGTTTTTCTTTTTTTATCTCTTTAAGGTGTTGAAAACTAGACTGACCCTGAGGAAAACTGGCCAGTATTCAGGAATGTTTGATTGCGCCAAGAAGATCCTGAGGAAAGAAGGTGTCATGGCTTTCTATAAGGGCTACATTCCAAACTTAGTGGGCATCATTCCCTACGCTGGGATAGACCTCGCTGTTTATGAGGTATGCAGGCTGTGTGACGTATTCAGGCTGCTTTGGTGATATTTCACAACAGAGTGCACTTTGTTAAATTAAACTAATTTGTATGCACGATAAACCAGTTCATCTTGGATTGCAGGGCCACATTCAATTAAAATCAGAGGAAATTAATCTTTGTGCCATGCGGATGTATAGTAGTTAATTGTTTTCCAATCTCCTGGCACCATTTTCTGCTGTGTCTCAGAGTCTGAAGAATGCCTGGTTGTCGTACCACGCCAAAGACTCGGCTAACCCTGGAGTTCTGGTGTTGGTGGCCTGCGGGACCATGTCTAGTACCTGTGGCCAACTGGCCAGCTATCCGCTCGCTCTTGTGCGCACACGGATGCAGGCACAAGGTAAACTCAGTCTGACATTTCATAACAGTGATGACAAAACTTACATGGCACATAATACACAGTATTCATAGTATCTTTCACGATAGGCGATATGTTTATGTGGTGAAAAAGGTCTGTAAAGGTACCCCATATTTTCTGTAAACATACGCAAAAAATCTTCAGGTGCAGAACAATAATGTCACTGCAGAAAGAGGAAAAGTCTGCACACTGATTGGCTGTACATATTTATTTTCAAGGCAACATTCCGATCTGAAGAAGAGCTTGCAGACCAGAATGTTGCCGCCTTAGAAGTTCATCAGTGTGCAGACTTTTTGTTCTCTCCAACGTACACTTATTTGGGGATGCAAACGTTGTCCAGCATAGCTGCTATTAATATACAGTACAAAAATAAACAACATGCACTTCTGACTCTCTAACTTACTTTTTCTCTCCAGCGTCTATGGATGCGTCAGACCAGTCCTCCATGAGTAGTCTGATAAAGAAGATCCTAGCCAAAGAGGGCTTTTTCGGACTCTACCGGGGCATCCTGCCAAATTTCATGAAAGTCATTCCGGCTGTCAGCATTAGCTACGTGGTTTACGAGTACATGAAAACTGGCTTAGGAATCAAATGATGCTGCAAGTGAATGAAAAGAGAACTTGTACTGACTTGAAAATGCCTGAAATTACTCCAAAACAGACATCAAGCATACAGAGCATGACTTCCACCAGCACAGGAGTTCAGTGGATGGGAAGCTGTATGTGTCCCACTAAGAGATGTCTGTCAGTAGCTAAAGCATTTATCAGTTGTGGTCCGCATGCTTTAATTCTTATCCTCTTCTCCTTAGTCCTTAATTTACACACCGTTCCAAACAATATTTGACAAGATACTACTGTACATAAAGAGTAGAAAATATAATGGGTTGTTAAAAATCACCTTAGGGCACTCTTTTAAAACTGTGATCAAGCCAGAATGGTAGCTCAGTGGGTGCTTTTTGGTAACAAAGGAAATATTTTCCCTAGACAGGTGGAGCTTATGGTTAAGAGTTAATTGTCTTACTTTAACTAAGAATGAGGACAATTGACACTGTGCCAATTTAGGTGCTAAAGTCCACACTTTTTTTGAGGTAATTTAACACTGTTTCAAGTAGTAAACACTTACCCCAGAGTGACATCAGTTTCAGACATCAGCTGTCAGCTAAAAATAACTGGCCCTGAAACATCAATAACTCATCAACACTGGATCTTGTGCAATGTGAAAATCACTAATTCCACCTTCTGAGTGTTATTTTCATCCTTTCCATGTGCCTTACAGCCACTCCATGTGAACTTTCTGACATCTGCAAATGTGCTTTTTTTACTATATATACAGTGTATTTATATACTGTATATATTTGTTTTCAGCTACGGTTATTTATGGGGTTTTGGATGATGGTTACTAAATGGTAACACACTGTAAGAAAACAGTAATAACTGGTCATTGGACTGAAATTGCAAGGAGCATGTTTATTTGTCTCGTGTCTCTTCATGTCAACACTTCAACACCTCTACCATCCAAACACACACATACACATCCACAACAGGATACTGCTCCTTTTTAACATTTTGTTATTTGTTCTTTCAACATAGCCCAAGGTTGGGAAAGCTTTATTTACCATGTAAGATGACAATCAGCCCTTTTTGTCATTATTATAAGTTACATTCATGTGGATTTTATCACTTAAATAGAGGTTTAACACAGGGGAGCTTTTCATTACGCTAACTTATGCTTCCTTCTTAAGGAAGCAAGTATGGACACGCATTCGCAACATGAAAAGCACCCATGGTCTTTGCTAGAAGGGTTATGTGAGAACAATGGTGTGGTGTCAAGTTCAGCTCTTGAGAGAGGGGATCACTGGTGTGAAGATCACTGAGATGTGTTAACAGCTCCACCTAATGGTTAATAAAGGCAAAACACATGGACATGTTTCCATGTGAAACTTGCATTTGGTGTATCTGTGACAGTAGAACACAAGTTAACCAGAAGATAAGTGTTTTAGGATTAAGTTTTTATTTTATTTAATCATATCAGTTTTTTTAGAGTATTAGAGAATTAGTTCTAGCTGGTCCAATAAAGAGGAGACAGATGGAGTTTAAATGGGCAGTAATAGACTATAGAGATACTGTGACAAAGCAGACAAAATATAGACTCAGAAAAACTAATGCTGAGGAGAATTATTCCGAGTCTAAAGTTCAAGAATTTGTTTTCATTCATACTACAAAAGAGTCTATAAATTTTTTTTTCAAGATAAAATTAAAAAGACTTAAGAGGAAGACAAAAATTGTTTATCTTAGGCAACCAAATTAATGAATGTGGCTGGGAGAACTCTGACCCTGTAGTAGGGAGTTATGGGCAATCTAAATGGATGCTAGAGAGTGCAGCGAGGAGGATGGAAAGGAAAAAAAATATCAGTTTTCCTAAAAACAAGGACTCAAAACATTACCGACAGAGATTAACACAGCCTAGAACAAATAATTACCATTAGAACATCCATATAATTCGTGGATATAAACATTCATATTAGGATAGAGAGAGATAGACAGACAACCATCACCATATGACTGCCCCCAATAGCCACAAAATGTTTTGCTGCTTTAATATAATTATACTCAGTATAATGTCACTGTATAAACTCCTATGTTTACTAATTAGCAGCGTTTCAGGCGACCCGGTAGTTCTTCGCCCTGCTGATAGTGAAATTGTCCTACTAATTTTGTCCTAGCTGCACACACCGTAGTCGGGGCACCATCGCGCAGCAGTTGTCGGAGAAATAAAAGGTGAGCCCTCCGCTAAAAACAAACCAACGTTACATAACACCGTCCCCTCTGTCGACACGACACGGTGGGGTTATCGTCCTGTTGTCATTATCGACACTGACATCGTCAACAAGTCCAACTCTTAGATAGCTGTTAGAAAGTGACAGCTAGCAGCGAGCTAACTGTGGCTAAACAGCGGCTAAAAATATTCTGCCGCCGAAGTGATCTGAGGTTGGGCACAGCGGACAGAGAGGACACGTCGGTAGGTTACAGCGGGTACAACCATACACCCGCCGCTCTCAGTTTAGTTGTATTTGTTATTAATGTTAGGTGGCTTTGGTTTGGGAAGTGATCAACTTGTTGCTCGTTAAGTAACGTTGGTGGGGGCGTGAACAGACGGTGCTGTGTGATCTGGAGACTGTATACAGGAGACTGACTGTATAACAGGAGTTGTAATCAGGAGACTGTATACAGGAGACTGTGCACGGTTAGTTGGTTGTATCTGAGGTTGTCTATCTTACCGATAAGCCCTTTAGCCTCTCTGAAAAGCGGTTTGGCCTTAAGGGAGAGCCAGACTGCGGGGTCATGATGTGTGCAGTTAATGAACATGTTAGTTAAACATTGCAAGTGTTAAGATGGTGTTTGCTATTTTAAAATGGCCACATATCACCCTCACTCTTCTTCTGAGGCAATACATGTGAGGCACCATCTGGGGCCTGCACATATGGGACATAAAAGAAAGCAAAAACAAATTAAAACAACATAGGGTTACTGTCTTATTAATGAGTTTGTGCACACTGTGGTTGCTCCCTTTCTCCTTTGCAGACTCTTTGGTTGTGTTCTAGTTGTTCACGTTGCTAAGCAAGCCATTATAAGAAATAGAAATAATAATAATGTTAAAATATGTTCATTATATTACAGTATATGTATAAGAAAATGACATATGATTAGTACTAATAATGCTGAGAACTGGATCCCTGAATAGGTATGCTAACGAACAGTAAACAGTGTAATTGCAGTATTAATGACATTAAATTAACACCAGCTATTATGCTGTGCAGTACTGATTCTGGCTCACAGTCTATGTTGCATTTTTGATCTGTTTCTAGTGTCCAAATGACGAGATTACAATAAAATTGGAGTCGTTTAGCACTATAAGAAGTTGTCTTTTCCTTCCAATAGCACCATAAATAGCGAGGCATTATGGGAAACACAAGTGACAGAGTGACTGGAGATCGCCATGGAGCAAAGGCCCACCGCTCAGACAGCAGCGGCAGTCACAAAGACCAAGAACCCAGCAGCAAGATGGTGGACAGCACGGATGACCCCAACATCTTCAACACACATGGGCCAGAGTCCAAGGTAAAGCTGCTGCAAGACACAGAAATAGAAATATAGAGAACTGAATCTGGTTTGTCCTGCAGGAACACCCTTCCGATATCTGCGACATTTGTTAGATATGATATTTCAGAAAAACAGCTTATAGTTGAGGTATGAATTTATTGCTTTTAGGTGTTAGAGGAGAAAGAATTCACCCCAGATCTGGATGACCTAGTGAAAATTGGTCCTCAAGCTCGACCCACAGTCATCCGCTGGGCCGGAGGAGGAAAGGAGGTCTACATAGCTGGTTCCTTTAATAACTGGGGCACGAAGATACCACTAAATAAGAGGTTAACCCCTATTTTTGTTTTGTTTTGCATTCAGCATGCTGTACATGTACTGTACATTCCCAGTCTCATGATTTTCTAGGGATCCCATGTAATTGATCTGAGCTCATACATATTAGCTCCAATCCTGTCCAGTCAGTTTTGAAGTAATACTCTTTGTTTTCCTTTCTCTAAAGCCATAATGACTTTGTAGCGATCCTAGACCTGCCAGAAGGAGAGCACCAGTACAAGTTTTTTGTAGATGGACAGTGGGTCCACGATGCCTCAGAGGTACATTGGTGTCATTTTTGTCTCATTATCATTTACATATGAGTGGGCTGTTTGTTAGTTTTTTTTTTGTACTTCTTGCACAAGGTTTCTAAAACAGTTCAGTTCCAGACAGTGCATTTTGGCACATTATGACCATCATTGATGCTATAAACATGAAAGAATAGGACCTTAAAGAATTAAGACATTTTGAAAAGGCATCATTGAGAAACTGACATTAAAATATCCAAACCCTGAGGTGCTGACTGATAGTATCACTTTCTATTGTCATAGAGTTTGGTCAGCAAAACCACAGAGAACTATACAAACACTGCTGTATGCTATTTGAAAGGCTTTAGCCGCTCCCAATAATTTTGTAAATGTAACCGCACTCACAGCATTGTCATTAAGGCCTTTCCTACAAATCCAGGGAAATGTGTGCAGAATGTTATAAATAATATTTATAAAAATGGTTCATCATTGCCTCTTGGTACCTTGCTTTCTCTTTTGCAGCCAGTTGTAACCAGCCAGCTTGGCACCATCAACAACCTGATCCAGGTGAAGAAGTCAGACTTTGAGGTGTTTGACGCCCTGCAGGTTGACTCTCTGGAGTCGGACACATCAGGTCAGCCACAATGTTCTTGCACTGTTTTTTAGCCAACCAAATAAACAGTTCTAATAGTTTGTTATGTTTAAATACAGAAACAAACATGAAGAGTGTGGAATTGTAGATTGAATGGGAAATTAATTTGAGTAGTTTCTGGGTAGAAATTGTGCAGAGTCACTGTTGATTGGTCCAGATACACAAATTATTACTTAATCATTTTCTCACCTTTTTTTTATGGATGATTTTAGTTACAGATTGACCAGTAGTTATCAACTCATCTACATTAAACACTGATACAAACTGAACTAAGGCATTGTTCCTGTCAGTAGCGTTATCATGACTGTTGTATGTTGTATGCAGATCTGTCCAGCTCCCCTCCGGGTCCATATGGGCAGGAGCAGTACGTTTTCAGACCTGAGGAGCATTTCAAAGCCCCACCTATTCTCCCTCCTCACCTCCTTCAAGTCATTCTCAACAAGGACACCAATATATCTGTCAGTATCGCCTCCACCTTTCCTGTCGCCATTTCCTCAGATCTCAATTTGATTTGCCTTTGATGTTGTTAACCATTTCCTCTGTGGTTTGTAATTTTCCCTCTTCCTCTTCCTCTGCAGTGTGACCCTGCCCTGCTGCCTGAACCCAACCACGTCATGCTGAACCATCTTTACGCTCTCTCCATAAAGGTAGGTTCACAGGAAACGGCTGAAATATGTTCTCTGCTGGACACAAGATGTTTCCTACTTCACTGTAAAGTCTATTCTCAGTGTATGTGCACTGGTGGCTTCAAGTTTATACATCATATAAGTTGCATACTGGCCCGGGGTTGACTTCCAAACAATTTGTGATGTCAAAAGTCATCCTCGTAGGCCCCGCCCCTTAAAATCAACTTTCCACTTTCATGCATGATTGAAAAAACTGCCTTGTCTATCTGTCAAACTCCGCACATACATCATTCAAACATCTTACTGAAGAAACAAGAAAAACATGTTTGTGTGGAGGGGGACGTTAACCTAAATCTACACAGTAAACATCTGCTGTGTAAAGATTACTAGATTATTACAGCAAATGTGTTGCTGTACCAAAAACAATCAAAAGGAATTTGAGCTGAACTTTTTTAAATACTTAAAGCAACCAAATTTGTGTTCAGAACAGTTGTGCTAAATGTGCTAATAATGGCATCTCTGCTAATGAAACATTCATGTGAATTTTATTTAAATTCCTATTTTCATTTTTCTGTACCAGTGATGTGCAGTTTCAAAGTGAAATATAAGTCATTCTTTTATTTGCTCTGTGGGTTTGGATCCCACTAACAACAGCTTGCCTGTTTATTGTGTTTCTGTCTGTGTAGGATGGAGTGATGGTGCTGAGTGCGACTCACAGATACAAGAAGAAATACGTCACCTCTCTGCTTTACAAGCCTATCTAAACCTCGACCTGCTCCACAGTGCTTTTAGAGAGCAGCATGTTTGTATTCTGCTGTTACTTTCTGTATCATCACATTTAGCCAAATCTTGCACTGAATCGAGTTTACAGGCGAGCTTAAGGACAGTGGCTGTGACTGTGGCTTGGTTTTTAAAGGGTTGCACTTCGGTCTACATAGGGCTCTGAACAAAAGTAGCCAAGTGTGTGTGTGTGTGTGTGTGGAGGGTGTCACAGGGATATACTTTTACCTAACATCTCTACACAGACGAGAGACTGATTAAATCACTGTGTGTATTTCAGTGTTTGCTGCACATTGTGAATATATGCATGTGCGTGTGTAAAGCAAGATTCATTTTTAAATATAAGGAGTAAAGGATGGAGGTGATCTGTAAGTATTAGTTTTCTTTATGTTGATTTTAAGGATGGTCTCATAAAGCGAGGGCTATGTGAATATTGATGTGGATCAACAGTTTGATTTTAAAGTGTTGTGTCGTCATATACTCCTTGAACTGTTCTGAACTAATTGACCTGTAAGTATTTATGGCAAGTGCATGCAGAATGACAGAATGGCTTCATCTGGCCCAGAGTCGGGAGTCTAGGTGCTGAAGAGAGCAGCAGACTTGGCATTGCTTGAACATGAAGTGCAATAACCTGCTGTAAAAACACGAGACAGCAATTAACAACTCATTTTGTCAATATTACATATTATGTTGAATTTCTGTTCAGCCATTACACAATGGAATCTACAACATGAACTAAACTACGTTCTAACGTACTAAGTTCAGTCCAGTTTTGTAAATGCAGAGGTCACTATTGATTGAGTACTTGTCTGTTTCAAGAGGAAAAACATGTTTCCAGATGGGGAATGGTGGTCAGACATTGATGTTTAGTTCTGCTGTTGCCTTTATCTTGACTTAATTTTGCGAGCACTTTACCATCCTGTGAGCAGGAAGTGTTGATATAAGCTTTTAACTATGCAGCAGACAACTCTTGTACTGTAGCTTCTCTGGGCTATGAAATCCAATTTGTGCTCTTTTTTTTCTTCTAGATATGATAAACTTGCAGTGCTTTATACGTGTGTGCATCTATATTGAGTTCTGTTACCAAATAGGAATATACTGTATGTATCTGTTACATGTATAGTCATACACTGAGGCACGTACACCCGAAACTGTTTCATCTTGCTGCTTTGCCTGTATTGAATGTCTGTAAATTGTAAGAATAAGTGTGATACGCATTCAGAAGCAGATCGGCCGCACACACATCTCAAAAATGTGATCAGAGGCACGTTTTCAGGTGAATTTACAGGGCTAGGAGGATAAATAGTTGCCATTAATTTAAAAGTTGTACAAAGTTTGCTCACATGTGTGTTCTTTACAGTATAACCATTTAAAAAAATCTGTATTTTGAAATATGGTTGCTTTGAAAGTTATTTTTGTCACTCGTAAGTTGTGCTGTTTAAATGTCTGCACTTACAGTACAGTATATACCCACAGTTGATACACTCCACAGGCTTATAAAAGGGGTTTTCATAAATCCTGTTGGTGTTTAACTAGACGCTCTGAAAGTATTTTGTGAATGTCGTTTTGTCCAAAGAGTTTTTAAGACGTACAAATATAATAAGAGAGCGTGTGGACAAGCGCTGTGGATGCCACATGGTGTTTTGAGGCTTAAACCAAAACTTGAATTTTACAACCATTTCATGAATGTTTTAAAATGCTTTGCAGAACCAGTGTGATGATTCAGTGTACAAGGTTTTACTTGTTTGCAAATAAAGAGAGGACACGCTGGTCCTAATTCCTGCCTTTTTGTCTTTTTTTGTCTTTTCTGGTGGAAGAAGCCAGAATTGTGTTTTGAAGACACTTTTGTATGTTTGTAGTTCAGTTTGGTCTAATAAACCCATATACTTTAGATATATGTTTTTGTCTTGATGATTGATATTTTTTCAGGTACTGGAGAAACAATATTTCATATCAGCTGTTTTTTAGAAGCTGCAAGGACAAATTAAATAAAGCTGAAACTGATCTTCACTATCCTGGACTGAAGACACACCTATCGTCTATATGCATCATTTCTATTTCCATCAGTTACTCTTTTACCTGTCTAGTTGTAACACGTGTGTGGTTACATGGTGACACTCGGGTGCGGCCAGTGGTGCAACGGCCTGGTGTTAGGTTACTCTTTAATGAAACCAAAGTAGAAACTTTTATCTAAAAGCACAGGGGGAAGCTTACAGAAATCTAAATAACAAAAACATTCAACAAAAGTAAACTGCACAAGCTTTTTAAGTGTTTTATTCATTCTTTACCAAAATCTTTCAGTGATAATACTTTTGCCAACACAGCACACTGTTAACTGTCATCAGAGACAGGATCCATATGAGTCCTGTATCGGCTTTCTAGTTCATTATGCACAAACTCAGAAAAAAAGCTGCTTTCCAATCACATAAAAGCTGCACCAATCAAATAGCGCTATATACATACGTAACTCAGGACCAACAATACATTGTTTCAAACTGCTGTTTGATTCCCTTCTTAATAACAATAGCAAAAAGGCTTTGTTTACGCTCTAACAAGGTGCTTTATGGATTCTGCATTTCATAATCTTTCCAGTCATTGGCTTTTTTTCTTTTTTTACAGTAGACAAATCTTCAAAACTTTTCCCTTTAACTTCTTTAATTTCAAAAGGTAATATCAAACTTTTCACTTCTATTGAAATACTTGGCAACTTTTGTCTTTTTCTGAAGACTCGAGCGCAAACAAAACCTAATTTGACAGATCTCAGGTAGACGAGCGCTAGTTCAAGGCCATTTCTACCACTGAGAGCCCACTGAAGAAGCTCTCAAGCTAAATTTAAAGGCAAGCGAAGCAACATTAATCAGAGCTTTGTTATAGGTGGACAATATTGTGATCAGTGACTTAGATATCATGAAGGCATAGTTTGTGATTTCTTATCAGACACAACCTACGTGACTAATTTATTCAAAGTGACACAATCCTCTAACATACACTGCATATAAATCATACATTGCAGGAAGTGAATGTAGCAAACATACTCGTAATACAATGATGTTTAACATCAAAATAAAAGATATAAAGCTATTGCACAGCTACCCAGAAAATCAACTTTGCAAAAAGCAAATGTTGGATGTTTTTTTCACACACGCACACGCAGGCACACGCATGCTCACACACACACACACACACACACACACACACACCCTCAAACAAAAGAAAAGTTCATACAGAAAAAGCAGGTTATTTACAGCATAAAATGGCAAATGTACAGCAAGAAAACATATCAAACTAAACATGAAGTTGAACTGTTGTAAGTGAGTGAATTAAAGAACAATGATCCCACCAGTAGCCTGCCAAAGTTTGCATTATCTATAAGAACTTGATAACCTATATTGCCATTGCCATGGGAATGCTAATACGGCCACGAACCACGAGAAATAACATAAAGACAAAAGCATATGAAAATCCACTTAGTTGAGTTTTGGTCCAAAAAAAGGAGCTCATTTCCACAATTCAAAATAAACTGAACTAGCTGTCTAACGGTTACCATCTCTGTGGTTCTAGACCCTTTAATAAAAGACACCTCGGTATCCCTATAGTCTGATCAGACCTAGGTTTGTCATTCGCATGGATAAGGCAAGTCAAAGTGAAAGTAAAGAGTTTAAAGTTCAAACTTTGGCAAGTATTGGCAATCCCCTGTTCCATAGCTTAGATTTGACCACTTACAGTCTCTGTCATGCATCAACACACCAGAACAAAATGCACAATCATAACACTGATTGTGTCCTAACTTTATTATGAGTGTGACTAATAATCCAGTGTCAAGCAAAGAAAAATAATAACCCGGTGCAGCATGATCATTCAAGAAACATCATTATTGCACATGCTCGTATGAGAACTCCTACAGAGGAGCTTGAATACGCGTGTTTAGCCTGGTTCCATTTCAGCACTTTAACCTCTTTTTTTAATTATTTTTTTTACAAATTCTAGTGTACAGATTCTAGTATACAGAAATCACAACCAACCAGATTGATCAAAGCCTTAAGCTTTCTTTTACCCCACTCCCCTGCATTTGACTTCAAATTCAGTAGGTAGATGCCAAAAAAGTAACGTTAGGACCCAAAAGAGGAGGCTTGTGACTAAAATGGAACCTTTCTCTTGCTTTTGTTCAGCTATTCAGAACCCTTGGCTGAAGGCTGACATACCATTCATAAGCTTCCTCCACAAATACAGATATACACGACTACTTAGCAGTGATCACCTACCTCCTCTACATTCCTCCACTGTGTCTAGTGATACGTTGTGGGTGTCACTGTTCCTTGCATTGCATTTGCAAAAAACACTCCTCGTTAATAAAAGTGCCACGAGAAGTAAACTTGCATTTCTGTGGCAGTTAAAAGTTGAGGATGTCTTGTCTTTGAGTGAGCCATCTCGACCACACATATATGTATATATATATATCTAAATATATATATGTGTGTGTACGTGTGTGCAGAATTCCTCTCACAGGCCACGATTAAACATGCATGAACACTTATTCCGTCCACAGGCTGTCTGGCTCTCAGGAGAGGATGCTCTTAGACACAGATCCTGGAGGGGGGTTATTTTGGAAACTTTAGATTTTAACTCCAAGTTAAGTTCTTGCAAATCTCCTAAAACCAAAATGCCTTTATGGAAACACACCTGGTCTGAGATCAGTGTCTAGGAGCATGTTCAACCAGCTCCATCAGTAGGACGCACGTCACTGAAACCACCAGAGGCACATTTCAAACACCTTCTTCTGTCACACACACGACAAGGCAAACTGCTGACTGTATCACTCAAAGACATACTACATGTAGTGGGAGAGGTGGTAGAGAGTGACTGAAAACTGGTGGCGGGTTGAAGGGAGTTTGGTAAGGCTCAAGGTGCAGATTATACTGTGCACATATTGCCCGGAGGAGGGGAGGATGGAAGCACTCTCAAGGCTGGACGGAGGTAAAGGCTGAGGTTGGGTGGGATAGGAAAAGGCTGGCGTGGAGGGCTGGCAGGAGGGTGGGGGTTGTGGGTCTTGGCTGTTTCAGCATAGAGGTCAGAGGTGGTGGCGTTGAGGCTGGTTCTTTAAAAGTCTAAAGCAGGCATTGGCTGCTGCGCTTTCTCGCTGCTGGGCGATGATTGGCTGCAGCTCCGGAAGCACTGCTGGTCTTCAGGAAACTGCGATCAGCAGGCCGCTCTCTGGCAGCACCTCCTGGGTCCTCAGCTGGATTTAAGGGCAAAAGGAGAAAGGCAAAACAATATGCAAGTTATTATTCAACAGTCCTTATACAGCCTGATACAACTGACAAACTGCTGGTGTGGTGAAATGTTAAAGGAATAGTTAAACATTTAGACAAATATGCTTATTCTCTTTCTTGCCAAGAGTTAGATCAGAACTCTCAAGCTGGAGCCAGGAGATGGTAAGCTTAGCTTAGCATAAAGACTGGAAACACAGCTAGCCTGAACCTAAAGGCTAAGAAATCCACCTACCAGTATCTCTAAAACTCACTTATACACAGTATAACATGTTTAAACAAACATGATATGTATGATCAGTACAAAAAAAAGTTGTGGTGCTACAGGGAGGTTATGTGCACATTTAGAGGGGCAGGTGGGTAGATTTTGTTATGTTTGGAAAGAGCTGTGCTAGCTGTCTTCCCGTCTCCAGACGCTGTCTCCTGGCATTAGCTTCATATTTCCCATACAGACATGAGAGTGGTATCGGTCTTCTCATCCAACCCTAACCCTTGGTAAGAAAGAGAATAAACGTGTCCCAAAATGTCAAACTTATCCTTCAAAAACAACAAAAACACCTGAGCAAGAAGTAGTAATGTTAGTCATTATAAAATTCCCCAAAATACACCTGCTTGCGGATGAAAAGCTGAGTGAATGATTAGAGAATAAGCAATGTTGCTACTCAAATCCTCCATACACACACACACACTGCTGTGTTTTGTCTGTGTGCTGCGTGCCTGGTGGTGTGAGTGAATCTAGGTGTTTATGACACCACACAATCCTTAAATTGTAGGGTAGCAGTAAACCTTTTTTTGGAGGTGTCACACATGTTTTCGTGTGTAGATCCTTTAGCCATACTGTGACAGCATACACACAGAATGGAAACTATGTAGTGTGCATTTATTTTGGCACTAACTGTGGGGGGTCTGAAGCTATAAATAGACTCAACCTTAATACAGAGGACATGTAGAAGTAAACAACACTTAAGTGCAGCGGTGGCTTAGTAGATGGGTGTGTACGTATGCAATTTGGTGTTGTGGGTTTGGGAAAAAACTTTTTAAACACCTATTCAACCAGCTTTACTTAAAAATACAGTAATTTACAATTGTTGAGTAGTTGTAGTGGGATTTTAAGATCACGCACCAAATACATAGGTGCTGGTCGTGGCAGTGTCACATGGCGAAAACAAGGTGACCACACATGCAGATCCTTCAGACCTCACCTAATCACTTCATCTACATTGAGAAAGTGGCTGTCTGTGTGTGTGTGTGGTCACTTGTTTTCTTCTCAGGACAAAGATTTTGGGACGGCATCATCCGTTATCTCCAATATTTATTTCTAAACATTCTAATAAGGCAGAAAGGTGATAAACAGAATGGAGCTCGCTGTCAGACTGGATGGTAAAGCAATGATGTCAGCATGGTTACAAAAAGCCAATCCACACAGAGGTAAAAGCTGCCCCAGACCACAGAGTCACCATCACATTTGCTTTTACACCTACAGTAGGCATGGACTACTACAGTCGGGTTACTGTAATACAGTGTCTGGGACAACGTCTACCTATTTGCAAGATCACAAGATGTCAGACGATTACCAGCATAAGAAGAGGAAGAGGAGGAGCTTAGAGAGGAAAGTCTCAGCTCATTCTTCTGGGGGGTTTAAAGGAAGAGAGGAGAGGTGAGGAGGGGAGAGACAAATGCAGGACGAAGGAACAAGTGAGACAGAAAAGCCAAAAGTGATGAATTTACATCATAAATACGACTCAGATAAGGACACCCGGGACATAATAACATACAGTACTGATACACATAATACTGTGAATCTATGGAGTATGCACACAGATAATCTATATTATATGTGATATCCTGGACAAATGAGCCATATGAAATGTCCATATGAAGTAGTGATTTCTTCTTTACCTCTAAATTTGTTCTTGCTTTCTTCAGCACATCACGAGTCCTTGACACTACAAGAAACAATTAGAAAAAAGACATTTTTAACATCATAGTCCACACAGTCTGTTCACCCAAGATCAACCTCTGTGCGTGTCTCTCGTGACCTCTCGCTCTCCTTCACACACACACAATGCATAGAAACACTTACACTGGTTGACTATGAAGTGCTCCATGCTCTCCTTGGTGCGGCTGGTGCTCCTCAGTCTTTGAATTGTCCCCTTAAGAACCTCCTCCTGCTCTGATACACGCAGTTTCAGGGACAAGATCTCCTCCTGCATACACTGCTCCTACACACGCACACAGACACACAAAGTGACACTTGTTATCGAAGCTCAGCTTTCTGCTTCCTTACCAAACATATTTATATATTATAGTGTTTTTAAGGCTGGTGATATCCTATATATTTTCTTATTGTCAATCACCTTCTTAAGGTTTTGGACGGAGGGATCAGTGCTGGGTAGAGCTGCTCTCCAGAACATCTTCAGCAGAGACATCACCTCCTCCAGGATCTGCCTCAGAGTCTTGGTGTTGGACAGCAGACTCTTCACACATCCATAGTCCAGGATCTGCATACAGAGCTCAGTTAGATGTTTGTGCTCTACAGCCATTATTTCAATGATTTGTTGTCACTGTCTCAATATTTATTTGGCCTTCTGACTCTCACCAGCTCACTGCTCTGTTTCTGGTCGCCATCCAGCAGCGGTGGGCTGAGGCAGGCCTGCAGGGTTGCCTCCATGCGCTGGACAAGGCTCCGGCCCTCTAGGACCTGCTGCTGAAGAGCACTGAAGTCATCCACATGGCCGATGGCGTGGCGGCCGTTACGGTTCGCAAATGATCCGTCGGGGGCCTCCCCCTCCAACTCAGAGTGAGGGTCAAGAGGGTCTACGGGAGAAAAAAAGAGTGTATTTTCACATTTTTGAAGGAATTAAAAGATTTTTGTTTTTGTATTGCAAGAGAGAAGCTTCTGTCAAGCACATTAGAATAAGAGCAAGGAGTTATTATTGTTACAAAGCAATATAGTCCACAAAATTAAAGACGGATTAAGTTGCAGTCATGCAGTGCAGGTAAAGTCACACCATTGGCAGTAATATGGCTGTCGTCCAGGTCTGAGTAGGGAGGACCGGGAGATCCACAGTTAAACAGACCAATGTCCCTGACTGGTGGAGACGGAGCTGGGTCTGTGGAGCACACAGATACACAAACCAGGCTTGGACACACAGCAAACCACACCACAGCACACTGAGCATCGCAACATTCTGTGTAGTATTAATGTCGGTGCCATATCTAGAGGCGTCTGTCTCACCGTGCAGCAGCTGTCGTCTGTAGAAGTTTTCTCTCTGAGGGCTGGCAGTGAGCGCAGAGAGGGAGGGAGTCCGAGGAGAGCCGACACCCAGCTTCTGCTCCAGCTGCTTGTGGAGCTCCAGTTGTTTGAGGGCACTATTCTCCTGGACGCTGTTTTGCAGCTGGGCTCGCAGACTCCTCACCTCCCCGAGCAGCTCCCCCAGCTCCACAGGTAGACCTGGGAGCTCACACAGGTAGCCTGAAGACAAAATACATATTAACTGGAGAGTCTGACTGGAAATGCTTCTGCTCCGGTGCTCTTTGGGGTTCGGAAGACTTCATTGCAGCACAACAATACAATAAAACCTTGTTTACACATTTGTCAATGTGGAGATCATCATGTAATTATAGCATCTTTCAAACTGTTCTGATGGCATACTTTTTTGTTTGTAGAAAAATTAATGTGCAATCCTTTACACAGTCACTAGATGGGGCCAAAGTTTAGATTTCCATAAGAAACCCTACACATTGTGGCTTTAAATTTAAATTGTTTACATTTTTTATTTAAAAGAGGGAGTTTATTAAACATAGCTAGTGTACAATGAACAGACTGACCTTTGTTGGCCTTTGTGGTGGAACACACTCGATCGTACACTTGTAGTTCACTCTGCAGGGAGTGGATGAGCTCTCTGCTCTCACATAGCTGCTGCTGCAGTAGAGACACCTCATGCTGGAGCCTGAGGATACACAGATACAGCACATTACAGTCAGAGAACAGACATGTAAACACGTTTGTATCGACATATCAGTCACTGTTTAATTCATGTATATACACACTTCGAGCCAACACACCAACCTGTTGGTTTTCTCCTGACTGGCCTGCCGTTCCTGCCTTAATATGTGTATCTGCTGTCCCTGCTCCTGACTGTGAGCCTGAAGTCGTCTTAGCTCCTCCTTCCACTGCTCTGCCTCCAGCTCTGCTTGTTTCAGACGGGCACGTGCTGTAAACACTGCCTCCCGCAGCTGCACCACCTCCTCACATGTGTCTGATGGAAGAGGAGAGTCCAAATGGATCAACATACATATTCCACAACAATAAAAATCATTAAAACTTTGACTGGCTTTCAGATGAAGCACCTGTGCTGGCTTGCAGGCGTGACTGTAGACCCAAGTTCTCTTCCTTCAGGACTCTGATCTCGTTGGACAGTTGAGTGACTGTGTCCAGCCCCTGAATGTAGATGTTTGTTGGTGCCCCTGAACAAAAAAAAAAAAAAAGTTATTTTATGTAATTTGTTAGAGACACAAAAGTGACAGAGTTGGTGTTGTCAAAGTGTGTGAGGGCTACCTCCATCACGCCCAGTTGTGGCCAGCCTCTCTTCCAGCTGCTGTCGGAGCCTCTCATTGGTCCTAATGGACTCTTCCAGACGCTGACGGAGACACCTCACCTCCCGCAGGTGCTCCTCTATCAGATTTACCCCTACAGATAAACAACATAATAATAATATTATAATAACCTTTTCACTCTTCTATAGCTGCTTGCACAAGAGTGCTTATAATTACCAACATGGAGGTGTGAACACAGGTTCAAGCCTCATCAAGAAGCTTTTTTTTGTACTACTATAGAGTCACACCTGCATGGCTGCTCTCTTGCTGGTGTCCTGGTGATCCAGAATAGTTTCCAACTGGCTGAACTATGCCCTCCATGTCCCACAAAGTCCCTCCTGTCACTAGACCTGAGTCAGACTTCAGCGAGTGGCCTTCAGGAATGCCACCCAGCTGATACTGTTGAAAGGCATGATGGGGTAGCTGGCTATAGCTGGAGAGGTCGTGCTGGTTGTGGGCACCAGGTGAGAGAGTGAACAGAGCCTTGTCATGGTGGACTGAAAAACCTGTGACCACACACATACACACACACACACATACATACAAAAGAGTATGAAAAAAGTGTGTGAAACATGACACACAGGACAACAGGAATTTAATCTGCAAGTGAGATGTCTGTGTTTTACTCATGGCACACACACCCCCTGACCCCTCACCCCTGTTGTGCTCATTCATCTGTTTGTACAGCGTGTCCAGCTCTGGGCGAACAGCGATCACAGACAGGGCCCTGGGCCGGGGTTCAGAAGTGACTCCCACACCCCAGACATCAGGGCCAGAGGGGACAGAGAGGGAGTAGGTGACAGGCTCACTGAAAAGGGCTGGAGGAGAATGACAGGAAGTGACTCATACAGAACATGAAGGAGGAGGAGGAACAAAAAATGTGGGTACTTCGCAAGTCATAGCCAGCTGTGAGTCCCGTACCTCTGGAGGACTGACCCACAGGGCCTGAGCAAAGCATGTTGGGACAGCTACTGGAGGACTTGAGGAAGCCATGAGGTGGAGGGATAGATGGGCGGACTAAAGGAGGAGGGGAATGGAAAGTGAAAGGATAGAAGAGGCATTTGACAGACAGGAGGTAAACATATGAATAAACTTTATACCGTCTTGTTCTGATCCGTGTCCTGGCTGCTGCAGCCGGTGCTCCTCCTGATATTCTCTGCTGTCTATATCAGAGCACAGCTCCAAGTCTTCATTGGTTCTGTACTCATCGGACACCAGGGAGGTTCTGTCTGATTGGTCGGTAGTCTCAGAGAGAGCATGGCAGCTGGACGGGGTCTCCGGGCGCTGCTGCAGCTTGGTGTGAAGGGACTCGATGATCTTATCTTTCTGCTGAAGTTCCTTACTCAGCCTACATGTGCACACAAGAGAATCAGCCATTACATTCTCAAGTGATCGCTATCAGTGTCATTCTTTAAGCAAAACAAACATTTGCTGGTTCCGTCTTCCTAAATGTGATCATTTGATGGTTTTCTGTCACATACAATAGTAACTACGTAGCTTTGGATTTCTGGATTGTTGAGTGAATACAAGACATTTAAGGCATTCCCTTGACCTGCGGGAAACTATACAGGACAAAACAATAAATTGGAAAAATAGGCAGAAGATTAATTGATAATAAATAATCACTGTTCTAAAAGAGTGGAAAGAAGTGTTTAGTAAAGGTGGGAGAAGAAGCCCGCTGAAATTTGAGTTATTGAAACAAATATATTATCAGTTTAATCCACGATGCAATATATAAATAATTAAGTATAGTATAAATGTATCAATCTTCAATTTCACTATTTGTTTGTGATGATTTCAACCCAACCATCTGCTGTAGGTGGACCAATTTGCAACCATTTACGAGTAACTGCTTTTTCTTTCTTTTGTTACAATGGAGCATTTAAAGTAAATATAAACTACATGAATATTTCCCTTACTGTTTCAGCTGTCGGAGCATGAACTCCTTGTCTCTATCCAAAAGCATCCTAAAATAAGCAGTCTCTCTTGCTTGACCACGACCCGCAGAAAAAGACCACAGAGACTCCCTGTATATGGAGCTGTTCTTAGAAACCATAGATTTCCAGAGAGGAGCCATCACACCATCCGTCCAGTCCAAAGAAGCAAGTCCTTGATTCACTACAACCTGAGCTGGGTGGACCAAAAATAATTAAAAAAAAGACTCTTTGATGTCTGATTCTAGTCACTTAACCAAGACTTCTTGAATAATATTATTTTTCAGAAAGTGAATCTTAAACAGAACTCCAAAGAGAAATCGCAGTTGCACATCCAAAAATAAGTGACTTTGTATAGATCCAACAGAAAAGGACTATCGCACAGTCCCAGCAAGCCTCTTAAGACCAGCTGGTGGGACACCTGTAGGTCTATTCACCCAAAGCAATTTAAGAGTAAAGGCTCCATGCTGTGGTCTGTGTGTGGATTAACAGCCACCTTCTGTCCCCTCTCCACCATAAGGAGCCATGTGTGCCGAATTGTGTCACATGACACAGTAAACTAATCACTAGGGCAAAGTAAGAACTCTACAAAGTAAGCTAAGAACATTAAGGGAGGTCCACAGATCTCAGGGCTGCAGATGATATTACAGACTGTTGCTGGAAGGTTTAGAGGTTTAGAAATTGGTTTTAAAGGTGATTAATTATGAAATCCTATCAAACAATCACGCAGGCTAAAAATGAAGAACTTTGCAGGTGCACACAAGGAGACATAAGTGGAATAAATGTTTTGTGGTTGAATCATGAGCTAGATTATTGTTCATATGTGGGTCCATAACCTGATCTCTCAACACAAAGGTGGTAAAAGCTCACCTCATGCATGTTCATGTGTGCAGCCAGCAACAGTGCATTATGCACATCTAATCAAGTTGTCACATGTTGTGTTTCACACATATACATATGCGCACATGTGAATATAATCAAGCTGACTCACCGTAGGGCAAGTAACTCATGGCCTGTCTTGTCATTATGGCTCTCTGCACGGTCGCCTTTGTAAATAAAACAGGAAAGAAAGAACATAGGAAAGGGTAGACATTGTTAGAAATGACAATCTGGGTATAAAAAGGGAAACTTTAAAACATCTTAAAAAACAGTCTTTCTGTGAGATGGAAGAGAAGGGAAGATGTTCCTTACGTCCACTGATCTTGGTGACCACTCTTTGAGCCAGGGCAGTGTTCTGTGCCAACTGCTCTCTAAAGCTCTGACCCATGTAGTAATCAATATCATTGGCACGCAGCAGCTCCTCAAAGGCCTGTAAGTTGTTAAGAATTTGCAGAAAGTTTAAGAATATTGAAAATGTAGCACTCATCTGGTTCATACTGTGTAGAAAAAAGATAACAACATGGTTTAATGAATCATTTAATTAGTGCAAAAGGGTTTGCAGTACCTTGGTGGTATCACCCAGGTGCTGGGTGAGGATATGGCAGACTCCTTGCCCCTCTCTCATCCTCTGCCTCAGGTGGGACAACTCACGAGCTTGTGTCTGGATCAGAGAGTTGTACTTCCTGTAAAGGGAGGAAGAGCAATGGCCAGTGGGACACAAGGAACCACAGTATTAATAGAGATGTTTTCAGCACATTAAGGGCTCATATGACTACATCTGTTAACTGATTCTAGATAAAACAAATGTGCCTTAGGCTACACAAGGACAATAGAGGCACCAGGACCAGCACCTTACTAGGCCCTTCCCCTTTTACCATGGCCTCTCTGTCTTCGTTCACTCACCCAGGCCAGGTGGCACATTTCCCCTCTTCGGCTTGGCCTTTGCCCTCCTGTCTGGAGCTCTTCAGTTGCGCCTCCAGTGACGCAACTCGTGCCATCAGCTCTTGGAGTTCCCTGCTGGGCTTAGACCCTGAACGAATCCCTTGGGTGTCAGACACCCAGCCTTCATCCTCTTCCACACCACTCGGGGCTGGTGATGTCTCGAAGGCCCAGTTTACCTAGAAAGTGAGCAAAAACATTACAACATTATAAAGGGCATCATTATGAAACCAAAATGAACCTAAAAGACCAGTCAGTGATGTAGATTATCTGGTAAATGTTACATCACCTTGCGTGGGGTGCGCTCCAGGCTGGAGGCATAGTCGCTGGTGTTAGACAGGGAGCGGACACGCAGCTGCAGCCCACGGATCACCTTGTGACAGCGGGTCAGCTGTGAGCGGAGATCCTGGACCAAATGCTGGAGAGAGGATGACTCATCCCCCATTTCATAAGCACCTCTGTTACTGCTGCAGTTACCAGCGTACCAGTTACCACCCTCATAGTCCTGTTGATTGGACAGCGACGTGCACATCTCCAGGTCATCGAACTCTGAAGGAGGGGCGGATGAAAGAGACATATTGATGCAGGATTAATGAGGATTAGTGAGGGTTTTTTTACAGGAGAGGAGGCTGTTATAGTTTGAGAGAAGTGTGGTTTCTTTGTCACCTGGGCTGCTGGCGTCTTCTCTCTCAGCTTCGTTTTCACTGCGACCACAAGTCTCATAACCCAGATCCTGGAGATCCACCTGCACCTGCTTACTGGCCTGCTGGACCGATGTCTCTGCTGCAGGAACATCAAAAGGAAATGACTTTAATCTTACATGCTAATAATGTTTGATGAAGGTTTTTGAACACAATTTAGTGCTTACACATCTCTAATAACATGTCTGCATTCCTTCATAGATCTTCCTCATTGTGACTTACTTAGCAGGTCTCTGTAGTCCTTCAGTTGTTCAGCCTGAGCATGGACCGTGGCCTCAGACACCATCAGCCTCTCCTGGAGCTCTCTGTTCTCCTGGTGGCTCAGAGCCAGATCAGAGCTGAGACGGGCCGCCTGCTCACGGAGACCCTCCTCTATATCCTGCCAGAGCTCTCCGACCTCTCTGCTGACACCAGCAGGCTCCACCTCCTGCAGCAGCAAAGTGAGGACTCCATTACTCATATAAACAACCACAAGACTAAAAAAGAACAAAACACCCGTACATAGAGATAGTAAACGGAGGGCCCGGCGATACGAAGTCTGCGGCAAAGGAGGGTAGGGCCTGGAGGCAAAGCTGTTCCAGCACAGCTTGCTGAAATCTGCTTTGTAACCAGCAGAGAGTTTGCTTTGTTCACAGAGGTATAAAGGCACTTTTGCTACATTTCTCTTCCAACTGCAGCTCTTTTCCAATATAGTTTCACATTAAATCATTTAATCACCCATAGCACCTATTACTACTTGATTAGGACTTTTTATTTTTCCATCCAGCTGTTGTACTTGGCTCTTTAACTTAAGTACATGATTTGAGCATTTTTCCATCACCATGTATCTAATTTTCTCACATTTCGGCATCTATTTTTCACAGTAAAATGACCATATTGAAAAAAACATGGCTCTCATACAATCCATCACACTAACCCAACAATAAATGTAATAAGAATTAATATATTCACTATAACAGTTCATGCAACTTTAAGGTATTTTAAGATATAGTTCATATTGTTGTTTAATCAGAGTTTTGGTTAATATTTAATGCCTAAGAGTAAAAATGACTGTAATAGATTTGCAGCAGCTTCATAAATTATCTGAAAGACAAACTGTTCAAATGTGCTAAAGAGTGTGTTACCGTCTCAGGCTGGTGTGTGTGATGATGGGACATCAGAGGCCTTGTGCATCGCCTCTTTCCTCGCTCCTCACTCAGACTAACACATGGAGGACCTCGCTTCCCCACAGACACTGGAGATGTTTCCTCCTCTTCATCTTCTTCCTCAATATCTTCCTCTTCTTCCTCCTCCTCCTCCTCCTCCTCCTCCAACTCCTCCTCTTCTTCTTCTTCTTCTTCTTCTTCTTCCTGGATCAGACCCCTGTGATTCTCCTCTGTGTTAGCCCTCAGTCCCACAACTCCAGTTCGTCCATGGCATTCTTTCAGAGCCTGGTTCTCCTGCTGCAACCTCTGCAGTGCACTCCTGGCAGGAAAATTAACCACAACGCCAAATTAGACATAATTCATAACTCAACTGTCAAGATTGAAACTTCTCTCAGTAGCCAACATCAACTGTACCACAGCCAAAACATAAAGTTTCCTGAGGATCTCCTGAGGAAATATGTACCTCATCTGACCCACAGAGGTGTATCCATCCCTCTCCAGTTGTAACTTTATTTCTTCAAGATGGCCTTCAAGTGTCTTTTTTGCTTCCTCAAGCTGCTTTACATCAGATCTCTGGGATGCTACCCCCCTCACCGGCGCTCCGGTAACACCCTCACGTCCACAAGCCTTCAGAGAAGTCAGAAAAACGAGTCAAAACGTGTTTGTTATTGTTATTTCTCTTTCAGTCATGGTATTAGGTAAATGTTTAAATTAGTAACAGATCCATAAATCAGTGGTTACAAACTGCCTCAATTTAAAGGAAATTTAACAGTGAAATGTAAAAAGAAGAATTTTACCTGAATGGAAGCCAAACTTCTGGTCGACACTTTGTCATCCTCCTCCTCTATGCTGTCTGTGAACTCATCACTGCTGCCGTCTTCATCGTCTCCCTCCTCCTCTTCCTCTGTGCTGAGCTCTGGAAACACAACAACCATATAAGGACAATATGCACTTGCTTTTTCCCCTTTTGTTTATTTCTTAATCTTCTGTTATTCTTCTTATTCTATATTTTTTAACGTCTCTCCCTCGCTAGCGTCCACTCTCTATCCCATTCTTTCCAGAACTCTGTCTGGACAATGAATCACCACTTTGGAAGTCATGGGACTAAAAGGGAAATGTTATGTCACACGTTGCAGCAGCCAGCCAAAAGCACACTCATGGCAGTGCAACCCAGTACAGGAGTGTCGTGAATGTGTGTGTTCACGAGAAAAACCTTAAACTGAGACAAATGTGATGGATTTTGACTTTGATTTATAATCACACTCATATGAAAAATTTATGGTGATTGTGGGCCAAAACTGAATATGTATGCAGCATTTTTGTTCTGTGTTATTAAAGTATTGCACACACACACACACACACACACACACACACACACACATACACAGCAGTATGTTGCCAGGAAACAAAGGCTCAGTGGAAAGTGACTGGCAGGAATTTCAAAGTAAAATAATTTTACATAATAGGCCCTAATTATACACACACATAACATACTTCACATATAGTGTGGTGTGCTAGATGTGAATCACAGGTGCATAGGTGTGTATCAATAGTTGCTCGGTGCATTTTTGGGAGTTATTATGGCATTATTTCATAATCAGGGAAAGTTCAAAGGCAGTTAATTACCACAAATGTCTCCACCCTAAAACAAGTATGAAAGTAAAAGGTACTAAATGTCTTTGTGCTGCTAGTGACAGGGCAGGAAAGTCATTGAGTGAAACTGCTGGGTTATTATTGATTGAACAATGTGCTCTGTAAGCTGAACTGACTGAATGTGGGGCCCTGTTTACAGACTGTGGGACTACATATTGTCACCACTCTCATACTGGGAACATGTAGAGACTGTGTATGTTGAATAAAAGGGCTCACATGAGCTTCCTTTATTTGCCTTATTTAGAATTTTAGTGTAGTGAGTATCTAACTGGGCATTACAGTAGAACAGCCATGCAAACATGACAACCATGCCACAATCTCATGCATGATGGAGAACATGAAGAAAAAACACTCATTTGGACTGGATACATCTGGTAACCCACATTATAGCTCCATGTGGCTGTTCATAAACAGAATTATCTACAGAAATCTTCAGATGTTTTTGACCATATTTAAATTACTGACAAATGAATAATGTGTGTTCTTGTAGTTATAAAATTGCATAAGAAGAACAAGCACAGGGAGACTGAGGATGGAAGACTTTCTACTCTGAAGGAATTGTTCAGATACATAAAGCACACTGTGGGTTGTTCTCCGGGGAAAATAAGGAAGGTATATCAAGGACTGGGTGAGGGATTTCAGGTTTGGGATATTCTTAAGACAAATTCCCAATTATACACAACAACCAGAAGTGCTTTTGACAAAAAGCGAGCACATTTTTATTTTTTGTTGCATTTAAAATACAAAAAGGAAGTGTTGACAATGATTCCATCTCTGAGACTAGATGAGAGATCAGGGCACAAAATCCCAAGAAAATGTTCTCTACTAATATAAATATTTAATGGGAAAGTATTATTTCTGGCATTCACATCTCATGTGATTCATAGAGAGCACAGTGCAGACAGCGAAATTATTTGATATTATATTTTCCTTTTTCCTTGCTACAAAGCTGAACATAAGTCCAACACGCAGATTAAGTTAAGAGTCAAGTTAAAACACATATTAAATTACCATAATGTTACTTTTTTAAAGTGTTCAGCTCACACCTACCACCTTCTATCTAAAGAGGCTGACCTTATGTTTCATGCATATTTACTAAAATGCAACTAGTGCAGAGCAGGTTGATGTTATAAAACTGTGCAGGATAGCAATCCGAGGTTAAGTTGAAGTAAAGGAAACTATATGGCCATCTTTTCTTTAGAGTTTGTATCTTGGGCCTTGTTAAGTGTGCACATCCTGTTCACAAACAGATGATATAAAACAAATGATTGATGGTGAGACGTTTCACTGTAAGGCATGAGCTCGAGATTCTCCACAAGACGTTAACTTCACTGTGACAGTAAGGCTGGAAGAGTGACACTGGTGAGAGACAGTACATAGAAATGGCAATACAGATCAATCGCACTGCAAAGCAATACACAGACAGCATTTCAAAAAACAATGTAAAAACATATTCACACCACACTCACAATATATATTCATAAATAAGACTCTGGGTTGCACGTTGCCACTTTATACCATAGAGGTTAATCTGAACAGGCTTCCGCTACTGTGAGTAGTGCTTGTGCTATCTGGACGAAGTTGCCTGAAGACTGGTGGTCAGATTTTTGTTCACACTTAAGAGAAGAATTTATCTGATCTTTTAGGACCACATTTTCTTTTATAAAACTGACCATCAGTGGCTACAGGTGGCTCCGTCTCACATTAAGTGTCACTCAACAGTGCTGTGGTCAGACAGAACATCACGGAGCATTAGTGACAGTGCCCCCCGCAGCCATGGAGGCTGGCCCCTGCCCATCCCCACCTCCAAAATCAGGCTGCCTTTTAGCTGCCCTTTCCAGCACCAGGGCCATGTTACGGGTCCTGGCCAGGACTTCCTCCAGCTGTCTGCGGAGGGCCTGAACCGAGTCTAGCTCAGTGTGGAGTGCCTGGATCTTCTCTGAGCTGTGGAAGAGGGAAAAATGTTTTTAGAGCAAAAGCAAAAAAACTTTGACAAGAAGCATGGCATGTCACAAGACCTGGGTGTAGCTTCCCTACCTGTCACTCTTGCTGTGAATGTGCACAAGATTTTGGTATAATCGCTTCTCCGCCCTCAGGGCATCATTGAGCTTGTTGTACTCTGACACAAGCTGTTCCAGCACACACTAGATCAGAGCGGCAGGCAGGGTTGAGGAGGAAGAAGACATAATAAATACACAAATCCTCAGCAGTACAAACAGCCAAACACTGTCTAATTGGCTGAGAACGAAGCAAAATCCTACTTGATGATCAGAGCTGTCCTTAGTGTCCACTCGTGCAGCCTGCTGGTGAGCCAAAGACAAACGCAGAGCAGAGAGCTCCTTCTGCAGGGCACAGAAAAAGACTTGTGAGATAAGAAAAAACACAAGGATTATTTTTATGCATCACAAGGTCCACACAGATACCTGAGCTTCTATCTCCTTCTTCATTACCAGCTGCAACTCCTCTTGGAGAGTCTTCATCTCCACTTCACTCTCCTTAGAGGACGGCTGCATCGCCTCTTCCTGGCCCTGCATCAGTTCCTGAAAAACAAAGAAAACTGTGAAGATCAGTTGTACAGGAGGAAAGGAGCAAAGGAGAAAGCCAAGGGAAATGCACACAGGTACCTTAATAAAGGCTTCTTTCTCTTTGAGTAGACTGCGCAGATGCTCCGTCTCTCCTCCCATCTCTTTCTCCTTGTCCCAGTTCAGCTCGCACAGCTCCTGCTCTTTTATTGAGAGCTGTCTGCGGAGCTCTTGCAGCTGGCTGGTCTGCTCGCTAATCACAAGAGAGAGCCTGTAGGAGTAGTCCTGAGAGAGGAAGAGTGGAGAGATTTAAGCTTGTTTTTGTTGTGCTCAATCTATCAGTTCCACTATCATACCAGCAACAGGGCCTACCTGCAGATACTGGTCTTTGGAGCTCAGGGTGTTGAGCATGTCCTGGACTTGCGCTTGGTGTTCATTAGACTGGCGGCTACGGTCTGACAGCAGCTCCTGGAAGAGTTTCTCTTTCAGCACCAGCCGAGCCTTCAGCTCCTCTACGACTTCGGTGGGACCAGCCTGGACTCTTGCAACGAGGGCTGCTGTCAGATCCTGTACACACACACACACACACACACACACACAAAACAACATACACCCAGAAAAGGCTGTCAGCACACCTGTTGTATTTGTATTTATGAAAACAAGTAGCACAGGTTTGTCTACATGCACTGGTTTTACAAAGCTTTAAAATGACAGAGCAAACTATTTGAAGCCATGACAACAAAAGGCATAAATCAATGTGTGTGTGTCACCTGTGTCTCCTGGCTGCGTGTCTGTAGAGCTGCCTGTAGCTGGCTGATGATGGTGTCTTTCTCTCTCAGAGTGTTTCTCTCCTTCTCCTCACTCTGCTGCTTCAGCCACTGGAGGTTCCTGTAGGCCTCTGCCGCCTGCTCCAGCTCCAGCTCTTTACCACGCACCAAGGCGTCCAGACTCTGATGGTCACAATCACAGGTGTAATCAGACAAAAAGAAACACATAATACCTCATATATGTCTCAAATATAGATACCCACCAGCTGTCACCCAAATCAAAGTGGCTGTGGCTTGTTTGAAAAATTGAGCTTTGTGAAATGGTATGTTTGAAGCAAAGAAATAGTCACTATATAACAAAAACTATCTGGGAGGTTACTTTCCAAAGGATAGTCTACAACTAAGTCCTTTTTCTCTGACCAGATTTTGGCGGCAAGAAAAATGTACCCGTACAAGCTTGCGGGTTTGATGTGTTTGCACTGTGTCCAATGGACATACCGTGATGGTCTCCTCATTGCCGGACAGGATGCAGCGGAGTCTCTCCAGGTCTCGTTCCTTCTCCCTGAGGGCCAGCTGTAGCCTCCTCACCTGGCCCTCGCGCTCCTCCACACAGCGGAACTTGTCATCAATGGAGCGCTGCAGACAGGGAGATTAATAAAATCACACTGCTGCTATTCTGGGTACCCTCAACTGTGATATTAATCATCTGGTATTCACCATGTTCTATACAGTGCTCAGGTTTTGCAGTTAAGAGCAAAAATGAGCAGCTGTGCAGAATTTAATGTTCCTTACAAACCAATGGGATCATCAGGGAATGAAATTAACAAGCTGTAGTGATGTTTTCCCTCTTGTCTATCCCTAACAACACCCCTAAAGATTTGTTACTACTGTATACTGGTTGTGAAATTTTATGCTGACCTACTGGTTTAGCTAGCAGGAGTTTGCGTACTGTCTACCCCTGGCTCTAACTGCTGCAAGTTGCAAACTTAGCTCTTTTATGATGAAAAGCCTCTCCATCTCCCCTGCACTGAATGTACAGAATCACACAGTATACAGTACAGTACAGTAGCTAAGAAGGGCAGTCTTTAGTATTAAGGACATTTTGGGGTCCTCTCAGTATTCCTACCAAGCTCTCATTAATGCCTGTCTCTGGTGTGTATATGAATGTGTGTGTTTGTGTTTTACCTCCAGAGCTCTGTCTCTATCTTTAATACGCTCTCTTAGTTTCTCCAGCAGGGCATCTCTTGGTTTGGAGCTTCCTGTTGACTCCAACATCTCTGAGTACTCCTACAGGTATAAAGAATTTTTAGACAGAGTCAGAAATGTAACTACATTCTGTATGCATTAAAAGTGTACAAATGTGTGTGGGATTGTGCGTGTTACCTGTAACTGTTGCTCCTTGTCTTGCAGAGAGCATTTGAGCTGTGCGATGCTCCTGTCTTTTTCCTGCACCACAGCGTGTCTCTCCGCCTCGCTCTCCTTCAAAGCTGCTTCTTTAGCCTGAAGCTCGGAGCGAGTTTTCTGAAGGGCACAGCGAAGGTCCTGCAGCACAAAGACGAGAGGTTACACATACACATCGTACTTAAAGTCTTCTTTCAATAGTTGGTTGACTCACACATTCACAAACACACTAACCTGGTTGTGTTTTTCAGTGACCTCCCTGTGCTGCAGAGCCTCCTGTAGATCAGAGTTGAGTCGCTCCTTGAACCTCACCAGGTCCTCTTCTTGCCTCTGGCTCTGTCTCAGACTCCTCTGGCTGGCTTCCAGTTCCAGACCAAGGGAGAACAGGGAGCTTTGAACCCCCACCAGCTCGCCCTGCAGCTGGGCGAGCGTCAAGGACTCACTGACCCCCTCTGGAGCCTGGAGACAAAATGACCACAGACCAAGGTCAGAACGTCAGCCTGAAGACAAGACTTCTTACCATCCTGGATCTGGGTTTGCACAACTATATGTGCACCACGTCTTACCTTGGACTGAGCAAGCTGGTTGCGATGGGCCATTTCTCTCAGCTTACACAAGGTGGTGTTCTGCCCTTCAATGAGCTGGTACAGCTCTTGGGCCTGAAAGCAGAATAAATCACTGGTATGAGCACCTTCTTAAATACAGGTATCGTCTAACACTCGTTGTTCATCTGCTACTTAACAACAACAAAGACAAACACTCACCTCACTGTCTTTTGTGCTGTTAGACTCTGTGAGACACTGAATGGTTCTTTCCTGACTCTGAGCAGCCTGACGGATTGAACGCAGCTCACACTCCATCTCATTCAGCTTCTCTTGCAGCTTCTAGAGACAGACAGGTATCACTGTCATCAGACACGGATTTATCAAACATATATATCCAACTGTAATGAGGAGTTTTGTTATCTGCCGTACCATGTTGTTGGCCTCACTCTCGTGGATCTTGGCCTGCAGGGACTGGACCTGGAGCTGGGCCTTCTGCAGCTCGCTGACACACTGTCCGGCCGCGCACTCATACTGGTTCAGTTGACTCTGCTGCTCCTCAACAAGGCTCTAAAAGGTAAGATGTTAGAATTTCAAGTTATTAAAACAATGTCGTCTGACTAAATCCAGCAACGGAATTATTTGGGAGGAAGATATTTTGTTTGCTTCAAACTCATGAAAAATACAGAGGCTACAGACTGCATAACTTCCACAGTGGATTGCATAATATGTGTACAACATTTAGAAACTCTGCTCATTCATGTGTGTACTAAAAAAGCTATAACAGGAAGAGAGCCTCCGAATTGGAGTGAGAGTATTTGCACGCACGAGTTAGCACGTGTGAGTGCGCTCAGTGCTTTAAGCCACTATTATCTTTAAATAGCCAACATATAAATGCTTCCAACTTTCATTTCCAAGAGGAAGGATGTTATTAAGACACACTAACTTATACACTCATTGACCAAGATTAATTTATGGTTTAATGTAGCCGAGATTAAATGAAATACATTTTGTTTTACATAGTGGTACTGCACTAGCCAACCAGTGTTGAGATGACAGGGTGGTCTGACATTGCGTGGATCACTTTGCCTCAAGGGCTCCGAGTGTATATAGGCCAGTAGTGGAGTCACTCTGTCTTACAGTGTCTCCCCACGTCTAACCTACTTCAGTCAGCAGCCCTAGCTTAAAGATCACACACTCCTATTAAAGAACATCTAATTCAGAGACAAATACACACACACCAAAATCTATTTTAAATTATAATCTCGTCAAAATGCCTGTGCTTTCACTATATGCACTCTATGTTACTGACATGACTAAAGACCTCTTTGTGGACACACACACTAGGTAATTAGGCCATGTCATGTGTCACAGCTTACCCACACCTGACCGCTCATGTAATATATTCCCACACAGACAACCAAGCAAACACACACACACACACA